TCCTGGCTTACACGCCTCAAGAAATTAGCCACTCCAATTCACCCCAGAATCAACACAAGGAAGCAAAGAGTTTAATGGATTTGAGGAAAGTCTTCATTTTACCTACTTAACAGGTCATGGTCAACTTTTCACACTTTCTTAAGAGAACCATCTAAGCTATTAACAGGCCATTTGGCCTCCTCTCTTTAAAACCCCTCAAAGTTCAGAAAACAACTCTAAAAGCTCCCAGAATAGAAGGTGCTCTGGGAAGATAACCTGGGTATGGCCTTCCGGGTGACTTTGTCATCAGTGGTCAGCCAGGGAAGATCTAGCCACAGCCTTGCACAGTCCCAAGGACCCTTGTCTCTGTGACCAGGGGTTGACCCTGTGCAATTTCTACCCTGAGTGTATTCAACATCTCCTTCACATGGCAGAACCTGTGCTGGGCATGGGGACTCGGTCCTCAGTGAGAACACAAGACAGATTTAAAGAGCTATCTTTTAGAAAAGGAAGTAACTAGTGGCCCACAATTAAGATTCTGATTATGTGACCGTTCATACGCACTGGATACTCAGTAGAAAGAAAGACAGACTGACCCCTGTCCTCAGAACAGACTCAATGTGCACTTGATGGATACATTCATTCAGCACCTACTGGGAACGAGGATGTATGTCAGATATTTTCTCATTATATGTCCTTCTCACAAATATTCTATGATCCCATTTTTTAGATATTCTTGTTACATTTGTTTATGGCAGGAGAGGGGTATGCCACAGCACACACGTGGAGGTCAGAAGACAACCTATAGCAGTCAATTCTCTCCTTCTACCCATGTGGATCCCCATTTTTAACAGAAAGGGAACACAGGACTTAAGATGATGTCCCCAGGGTCACTCCAATGATGAAAAGCAATGGTAGGATTCAAAGGCAGAGTGGTCTGGGGTGAGCAACCATGCTGTGACCTCATTTCATGGATGATTAGCTCTTGGTGGTGGCACCTCCCTTCCATGGACTTGTGACTAATTCCTTGCCAAGTTGTAGAGCCTCATGGGACACAGGTTGGCAAGCAATAAGACATCTGCTGCCTGGCTAGGACTCATAAAAACATGCCTTGTAGAACTGATGCTGGCATCTGTCTCTGACTGTCCCTTGATGTCCTCTAGAAGAAATAGGGAAGAGAGACTAAAGTCACTCTCAAAGATAGAGACACATGCTCTAAGCCCTGCTTTTAGCATCCCTCCAGCAGGGCACAGAGCAAACCACTACTGACAGCAATTCTGAAAATTCACCCCGTTTCCATGCCAACGACGGTATCCTCCCCTATCCTGTACCACCATTCTGCCTTAACCCAAGGAAATTCTCTTCATTCTTTTTCTTTCCATTTCCTTAGCCAAAGGACTTTAAGAGCTTGAAAAAGCCTTCAGAATAAAGGCTGAGTAAGGGAGCCTCAACAGTCTGGAAAACTCAGGGCCATCCTTGCAGACTCAACGTAGACATCTCCACCAGAAGACATTCTGTAACCAAATGCTAGCAGTGTGCGAAAGCGTGCACACTCAGACATGCTCCCAGCCCTCTGTGTTACCCAAGCATAGTGTATGCTACACTGTGCATGGCTATGCTTTTTACTTGATCTCTACAGGTGGGTCTGTATCTGGTCTGTCTGCTTCCGGTACTGAGCTCAATCCAGGAATCCCACTGGAGAAGAGAAAGATAAGAAGAGGGAAGAGGACATTGTACAGACTCGCCGCTCCTGGTTCAACCTGTCTTGCTTACACTTGTCTCGGGCCTGGTGAAGCATCCTGGAGTTCCAGCTGCCAAGGAGAAAAGGATGTGGCCTGAAGGAAAAGGGGCTAGATGGAATATCTGCTCTCTAAGAAAAGGGGGGCAAGGAACGCTGGGCCTGCAGGACTCCAGTGACAAAGATCACAGCCACTGCTTAGGAATGTGGCTCAGCTTCTAGTGCTTGCCTCCTGTTGGCCCTGGGCCTGTGGGTCACAGAGCAGTGCACACGATCTCATGAACAGCTGCTCTGACCTCCATGTACCCGGCTCACTGGAGGCAGGAAATTCCATGTTGTAATCGCTGGATTTCTTCCATTCATTCTTGATCCATGACTAGGTAACCAATCGGTCACTAAAGAAACCATTTAGACTGATTGCAGAACATCAGCCCAGGCTCTCCTCTGCCAAAGAAGGAAATCAAACAGGACAGAGAGCGCTGGGCACCTCTATTTCCATTGCTGGCCTGACTTACGGACAGATGTAAAAAGGCTTAAACGCCCCACCCCTGCCCATCAGTCAGTGCTGCGGTGAAGATTTCATAGAGCTGGGCTTGACGTTTAAAAACACACATTTAGAAGCACATCTAGCTGCAGTCATGTTATGAAACGGAACACATGTGGATCTGAGTAGACTAGAAAAACAGTCCCCAGTATCTAGGGACGCTGGGCCTTTTAAACAAGTGCTTTTCAAAGAGCAGCATGAAGAAATACTTTTACATACATGATGCCACGATCAACCTGAAAATAAAAAGTAAAAAAAAGTCAGCGACCCTGAGCAGCTGGCTAGGGGAATGTGGCTGACACATTAGCCATCCAGTTCTGAAACGCCACCATCCAGGTGCCCTTCGTTTTCTGTGTGGCTGATGGCAAAAGGGATCAAACCCATTTTTACTTTATCGTTGCACATTTTCTAATCAACTGCAGCGGGGGGAGCATGTTCCTGCATATTTGATTCCCTATTTCCCAGAAGACATTTGGATGTTTTGGAAATGTAACCTTGCTCTTCCCACTCACCAAGAGAACCGTATCCCTCCTGCCTGCAATCTGGTCCCTCTCGGTGGAGCAGCAACTTGAGACTGTATGTCATTCCCAGGCATGTGCAGAGCGGCTGGTATTCCCACATTACTCCTCACTTTGGGCACCATTGCTTGGCAAAGGCATCGAGCCTGCTGGGTAAATCTAACCCTGTAGGTATGTGAAGCCACATTCCTAAAACCACATGCCCAGACAGCACCTGGATTTTATTAATATCTCAAAGTCAGATAAAAACAGAGAGATTTCCTGTGTGTGCGTGTGTGTGCGTGCGTGTGTGTGTGTGTGTGTGTGTGTGTGTGTGTGTGTCTCGTGTGGTGTATGGTCAGGTGCACTGCATGCACATGCATGTGTGTGCAGGTACCCATGTGTGGAGCAGAGGTCAGAGGTTGGTTTCTCATGCCTTCCTTGGTGACTCTTTCCAGTTTATCTTTTGGGACAAGGTCTCTTACGGAAGCTGGTGCTCATGGATTGGCTTGACAGGCTGGCCAGTGAGCTGCAGAGATCTGCCCATCTCTGTCTCTTCCCTGCTCCCTACACAGATGCTCACATAGGAACACGTGAGGCCAAGTACAGATGCCTGGCCTTTCCGCATGGGTTCTGGGGCTCCTAAGTCAAGACTCCATGTGTGCACAGTGGGCAGTCAGGACTCCATGTGTGCACAGTGGGCAGTCAGGACTCCATGTGTGCACAGTGGGCAGTCAGGACTCCATGTGTATACAGTGGGCAGTCAGGACTCCATGTGTGCACAGTGGGCAGTCAGGACTCCATGTGTATACAGTGGGCAGTCAGGACTCCATGTGTGCACAGTGGGCAGTCAGGACTCCATGTGTATACAGTGGGCAGTCAGGACTCCATGTGTGCACAGTGGGCAGTCAGGACTCCATATGTATACAGTGGGCAGTCAGGACTCCATGTGTGCACAGAGGGCGGTCAGGACTCCATGTGTATACAGTGGGCGGTCAGGACTCCACGTGTATACAGTGGGCAGTCAGGACTCCATGTGTATACAGTGGGCGGTCAGGACTCCATGTGTATACAGTGGGCAGTCAGGACTCCATGTGTGCACAGTGGGCAGTCAGGCCTCCATGTGTATACAGTGGGCAGTCAGGACTCCATGTGTATACAGTGGGTGGTCAGGACTCCATGTGTATACAGTGGGCGGTCAGGACTCGATGTGTGCACAGTGGGCAGTCAGGACTCCACGTGTATACAGTGGGCAGTCAGGACTCCATGTGTGCACAGTGGGCGGTCAGGACTCCACGTGTATACAGTGGGCAGTCAGGACTCCATGTGTGCACAGTGGGCAGTCAGGACTCCATGTGTATACAGTGGGCGGTCAGGACTCCATGTGTGCACAGTGGGTGGTCAGGACTCCACGTGTATACAGTGGGCAGTCAGGACTCCATGTGTGCACAAAGGGCAGTCAGGACTCCATGTGTATACAGTGGGCAGTCAGGACTCCATGTGTATACAGTGGGTGGTCAGGACTCGATGTGTGCACAGTGGGCAGTCAGGACTCCACGTGTATACAGTGGGCAGTCAGGACTCCATGTGTGCACAGTGGGCGGTCAGGACTCCATGTGTATACAGTGGGCGGTCAGGACTCCATGTGTGCACAGTGGGCAGTCAGGACTCCACGTGTATACAGTGGGCAGTCAGGACTCCATGTGTATACAGTGGGCAGTCAGGACTCCACGTGTATACAGTGGGCAGTCAGGACTCCATGTGTATACAGTGGGTGGTCAGGACTCTATGTGTGCACAGTAGACCCTTTACCAACTGAGCCTTCTTTTCAGCCCCAAGAACACAGAGAGTTCCAATAGCTAATTACCTGGCTCTGTATCCTAAAAGGTAACTCAAAGCAAAGACAGTGATAACCTAGCCAGAAAGGAACTTGGCATCCTTTATTTTTTCTTCAGAAGCTTCGTATTGCGGAGCCTAGTAAAGGTCACCAAACAGCCTACAGAGTACTCGAGTAACACCAAAAATATCCATCTCCATTGAGAGATTTGGAGTTGGCTCAGGCCATCTGCTTCCATGGCAGCCCAAGGTTCTCTTCCATTTGGAAACGATGCTGTCAAGTTGGTTTAGAATATACACCAATGAGGCATATGCTCATCCTCCCTGCCCAGAAAGAAGCTGGCATGGGACATTCTAGCCATGGAAGCCTCTGTTGATGAATTCTCTTGTCTTCTCTTCTCCCTAGTTACCGTGACGGTGGGAGGCAAGCAGCATTTGCTTGGACTGTACGACACCGCAGGACAGGTATGACCTCACCGTCTTGATTCATTAAGGGTTGGGGAAGGAAGTTTAGGAGAAAGAACGGGTCCATTTGGCTCATCATTCAGGAGCTAACAGCACAGGCATTTCCCATTCTCATCACTTGGGACCCAAATGACAACCAAATGCACATTCTTAACTTTAAAATATTTATCTATATAACTACAAAATCCTAAATCACTGTCCAAGATACTGATGATATGTCCAACACTGTAAAACCATCAATATTCAAAAATAACGAAACAACATTTCTAGCCAAGAATTTCAATTGTCTCCAACCCAAACCTGTTCCACAGCCAAGATGTACAGGACTAGTTTATAAACTGTAGCTTTACCCTTTTTCCCCATGCTGTTTTCTTTGTCCATCCTTTATTTGATTTACCCAATGAGCTGTGAAAAGGCTAAAAAAAAAAAAAGATGGAGGGATACAATGGATTAAAGACTGAAAGAAAAACAAGGGTCTGGATATGTCCCTAAGATGAAGGGCAACCCCCAACCACTGAAAACTGACTCTGATTTTTCTAAGATTCCCCAAATACCCTTGTTCTGTCACGAGTGTTTCTTGGGGTTTGAGAATGGAAGATTCTCAAACAGATTTGAATCTCCAACAGTGAACCTGCACATGGCTGTCCTTGGGTGAAAATCCTGGGTAAGTGCCTTTCCCTGCACCTCATACAGGGCTGTGGAAAACATCCAGTGTTAGAAGTTCGCCCGGTGGAGGATGGGATGCGAATGAGCCATGGATGGCTGTGGCCTAATTTCTTGGATAGAGCGTGTTACCATATGTCTTGAATCATTTATTTAGGTCAAAATCAGCGGGTTGTTCAGTCAGTCCAAATTTATACAGCTTAAGCCCTTTGGAGTGAATATTTGACCGTGGTATTTCCCACTGTGAGTTTCTTGGTAATTGTTAATAGCTATGCATTTGTCGAGACCTTTTCTCACAATTATCTGGAGATATGTCATTTTGCTCAACTTGAAAGCTCTCTACTAGAAAATAAATAAATGGAATCCCTTCGAGGTCTTCAGTGTGCGTGTGCAGGGACCACCAACAAGGGTGTGAGGGACATCTGTAAAAGCTGCTCCTTTACAGCCAGAGCAGGGAGCCTGGATATCCCAGCATCAGACCCAAGGCTCCTTTCCAGGACCCTCCAGATTCGACATGTGGCCGGATGACTTGGAAAACCACTCTCCTAACTCGGGAGTAGGGTGACCTCTCCTATCAATATCAAGAAACAGAAACATAACAAGGGGAAAATATGCCCTTAGCTATACAAATAGAAAAATTGATCTGTGTCCTTTAATACAAGAGAATACAGCTCCTACCAGAAAACGTCCCAGCCAATGAGGCCTGTGGATTCAGGGGCTGGAATTGCCCACCCCAACTCAATCATATAATCAGTGGGGCGTCTCTACTCATCACAGCCCCACGGTGTGTAAAGTCCATACAAGTCAGTTTGCCAAAGCTCAACACAGAGAAGATTCTTTCATACTCGGAAACTACTCTGTCTCCCTTGCCTTCTCAGAAAATTCTGGAAGTCCCTGCCCATTCATCTGGCCCCGCACTTCTGTAGCAATCTACAACCATTGTGGGTTCCTTTGCATCCGATGCCTCAACAACAATATCCCTCGATCTCTACTTCATTCCGCATCCAATAAAACTGTTTCAAAGCTCTTGTAGAGTTGAGTTATTATTCCCCATTACTCTATCCTTTAAAAAAAATACTAGTGTAAGAATGGAAGTGGTAATATATTGTGAAAATATCTTTAAACATAAAATTGAAGCCAGTAGGGTGACCCGAACCTCTGACACAGGGGTGAGAAATGCTGTAAAATATAGTAACAAGTAGATTCAAGCTATTTCTTCCACTTAATTCTCATCTTAATGCTTTCTTCCACTTATTTTGAAACCTCTGGATAGACAAGACTCACATGGGAGCATGGAGCATGGAGAAAGGAAATCAGACCATATCTGAGGGTTCCTTCTAGGCCTCGGGTTCTATGATTAAGAACTTTAAAAGATAATTTCAAGAAATCCTGAAAGAACTGGAGTAATTAACCAAAAAGGTTTGAGTCAAGACCCAAGAGAGACCTCTCAAGCAGTGGAAGATTTTAAATACAGTAAAGGATAAGCTGCCGTTCATGTTCTGGAGCAGTGATGATCAAACTTGAGTGTGTGCCGGAACCACCCAGAGCTTGTTAAAAACCAGCCACACGGCCACACCTCACAGTTTCCGATTCTACAAGTCCAGGATGGGTCCCAAGAATTTGCACTTCTGACAGGTTTCCACGGCCGCTGCTCTGGACAGCACACTTGGAGGACGACAGCTCTAGGAACTGTCGTCAAAGTGCTGTCCGCTGAGCAGAAGCAGTGCTTGTACATGGAGCATCTTAGAAACGCAGATTCCACTTGGGAGATGGAGGGAGCAGGATCAGAAGTTCAGGGCCATCCTCAGCTACATAGGAAGGGCAAGGCCATCCTGGGTTACATGAGACCTTGTCTCAAAAACCCAACAGAAACAAATGCAGGCCCTTACACCCCGGCTCCAAATTAGTGAATTTAAGTCTCTGGTGGCTGAAGCTGTTTCCAGCAAAATAACTATATCTACAAATTAGCCAAAAAAGTTTCACAACAAATGTAATTTAGGAAGTGTATTAGTCCAGGTTTTCTAGAGGAACAGAGCTGACAGAATGAATATAAATATAAATATAAATATAAATATAAATATAAATATAAATATAAATATAAATATAAATATAAATATAAATATAAATATAAATATATATGGGATTTAATAGAATGACTTACAGACTGTGGTCCAGCTAGTCCAACAATGGTGTCTACCAAAGGAAGGTCCAAGAATCCAGTAGCTGTTCAGTCTGTGAGGCTCGATGTCTCAGCTGGTCGTCAGTATACACCACAGTCCCAAAGAGTCAGGCTCTAATGCCAGTGAAGGAATGGCTTGCCAGTGAGCATGAGAGCAAGCAGGTAGAGAGCCAGCTTCCTTCTCTCATGTCTTTATATGGGCAGCCAGAAGAAGGTGTGGCCCAGATTAAAGGTGGATCTTCCCACCTCAAAAGATCTGGATTAAAGGTGGATCTTCCACCTCAAAAGATCTGGATTAAAGGTGGACCTTCCACCTCAAAGCACCAGATTAGAAGTGGATCTTTGAGAACCTTCCCACTTGCAATGATTTAATTAAGGAAAACCCCTCACCGGTGTGCCCATCCTCTTAGGTCTTAGTTAACTGCAGATGTAGTCAAGTTGCAACCAAGAACAGCCAGCACAGAAGATGTGTCCCAAACATTCCAGTCCCGTTCTAAGTAGGTTAGTCTCCCCTTCAATGATACTAGCAAATGTTCCTGAAGTTTCGAGGCTGAAAAACACCTTCAACTAATTAAAACTGACCCATTGAGTCTATTACTAAATAAGGAAAGAGAAGTGATCTCAGGGCATATTGGCAATCCCAGAAACCACGAACGCACAAAGGAAATAAATCTTTGTCCTGAGCTAACTGTGGATTTGTGGATTGCAGACGGGGCGGGGGAAGCGGGGGGACAACTCAAGAAGCAAATGCATTCTGAAAGGTCAGGTGAGAGAAACTTGTTAACCCCACCCATGAAGGCAACCCTGAGCCAAACTGTTTAACCAGCTTCCCTCTGCCATTCGCATAGGCTCAAGACTCTCCTCATCGCTTCACAACTCAGCCAAGCTTTTGCTGAAGATGGTTTTGTTTCGTTTCATTTCGTTGGTTTTTTTGAGACAGGGTTTCTTTGGTAACCTTGGCTGTCCTAGACCTAACTGTGTAGATCAGGCTGGCCTCGAACTCACAGGTAAAGATGGTTTCTAATGAAGTCATATATACGTATATGCTGCCATCACATGGAAGCTCACTTCCTCCCCAGACCCCAGAGACAAACTGCAATTTGGGCTTTGAGTGGAGCCCCTTGAAGAAAAAAAATCTTCAGAATTCAGTTGGATGGAATTTCACATACTAGAGCCAGGCAGTAGTGCCACATGCCTTTAATGCCAGAACTAAGCAGAGGCAGGCAGATCTCTGAGTTTGAGGCCAGCCTGGTCTACAAAATGAGTTCCAGGCCAGCCAGGGCTACACAGAGAAACCCTGTCTTGAATAAAAAAAATCATCAGAAAAAAAAAAATCAAACATTAGGTTAGTAAAGGATTGACCGCTCAGATCACTAGACAAGTAATAAGGCCAGTCCTACGGCCTGGTCTCTTCAGGTCAGGCAAACTCATCTGTGTGACACATACTCCTTGTCAAATATCATTCACAGTTTCTCTGGAAGTGGCTCCTGTGCTCAGATTTCTGGCTCAGTTACAGGAAGAGACTCTAAGATGTATGCCATGCCCAGCTGGCTTGTTTGGTGTGTGCATTGAGAGATAAAAGAGCAAAGCATGATGCCAGAGTGGTGAGGCACGAGCTGAGCCTGATTGCTCAGAGCCTGGGGAACAGCAGAGGGGGCAGGGCGTTTCCCAGACCAATGCTCAAGAGTCAGGTGTCCTCTGAATCTCCAGTGGATCAGCCGTGGTGGTGAGGCATCTTACCCTCTTCTCAGTGGCGACATGAGCAAAGCCAACTCTCAGACCACACTCTAGGTGGATGTATCTCAAAAAGAGCAAGTATTAGCAGAAATGGCAGTCAGCATCACTGCCAGAAGCAATGAGTGTCTCCCGGGGTCAGGAACCAGGAACCACCTTCTCTGCTATTTGTCTAAGCAGACACCAGTTTCTCATCAGAGTGTGAGCCTGAGTTCCCCGTACATGAGCCCCTCAAGACTTGAGGCGGCCTGCACACCGTGTGAGTGTAGGATGGTATCTCTCACTGCCAAACCACAGCCCACAGCAGCTCACTGCCACCAATGACTGTAGGAGCAGAGAGACCACGCAGGCCCGGAGCTGCAGCCACACATCTTCACCAGGACCTGACATCTGAAGCTCCTGTTCCCCTCAAGGGCTTCTTCTTCAGAAGCATGTGAGCAGGCAGGAGGTAAGGGCAGCTGGGGCTCATTAGTGGCAAGCCCAGGTTCACTTGGAAGCACATGGGACTTCCTCTGGCTGAGCCAGCAGGGCCATCTGGAGCACGGGGTCTGGCACCAACACTCCGTGGAAAGTTTGCCTAAAACCTCAGAATAAATGTTTTCCTCTCAATAAGCAACTCGAACTTTCTCATCCCATGTATCTCCGCGTGGTTTCTAGGAGCGTGTTGTCTGGAGAATGCTGCCCACATGATGGGCTATTGGTAAAGGTAATTTCAGGACCCTTTCTTACCTTTCCCGCTAATCAGGAAAAATGGAGAGGAAAGACATTGACTAAAGGATGCAATCATGGTCCACAAACATTTGGATCTCATTACCACTTAGTTCAGAAAAGTGAATTTCAGGGTCATCTCGGGTATCCAGTGAGGGCAGGGGCTGGGGTTCCAGGAACTGGAGCTGCCGTTGGCTTTAAGTGAGGGATGGACCCCTTTCACTCCATCGTCCATGCGCTCACTGCATCCAAAGCATCATCCCAAGGAGTCACACCCATTGCAGCACTGGAGTCTTGCAGCCATATGGGCATTCGACACTCTACAGAGAAAGAAACCGGGGCAAAGAAAACTCACCCCAAACTACACCAAAGTAGCAGTGACAAGTGAGCCGGGGATTTGAATCCACTGAATTCGTCTCTACCGGTCATGCTCTTGGACAACATCCTGAGCTCCCATCCAGTCCTGCTTTCTGAGTCAAGCTTGACTCACAAGGAGACTATGAAAAGCAAGGCTGGTGCTGACAGTCCGGGGGTTCAATGTCAGGAAGTTCACAAAGCAAAGAACGCACAGTCCTATCCCCAGCCTCTTGGGAGTCTGAGGCAAGCAGCCGAACTCAATGCTGTTCCTCTTCGACACCAAGAGCAGCCCCTGGGCACGTACCAGACATGCGCATTATGGCTTCACGCCAGACCTAGCGCTGAGCACAGCTCCACTGTGCATTGAGTTCCCAGGGATCCAAAGGCAAGGAGAACAAATGACTTCATGGTTCCGCCACTGTCCCTTCGTGACACAGCTGCTCATGAACATATTTGGGGCCTGCGTGATTGGCCAGTCTGTGATGAGCGTTCCCCAGAACTTTTGAAATAATCATCCCCAGTGCCCATACTTGACAGCACCAGATCCACCTCTGTACTACTGAACCCTTGCTTGCCTTTGGGGGACAATGGGTAACCAGTACTCAAAAACCTATGCAGTCCCAAATCCCTACCTACCCTATCCTACCCTACTCCAAGGCCCCTTGCGTCCAGCTTAGCCCTCCAAAGCACTATCTAGTGACTTTTATAGATTAACACATTGTCTCCCCAAGAAGCACACGAGCGCCTGTTGTCCAGAGTCATTTCAGCACTAGAAGGGACCTCAATGCCATAAGGACCGTTTAGCCCCTTCCTCACAGCTGATCGACATCATCTTCACATGTGACCACAAACAACCTACCGACCAAATGTGCTTCATCACAAAACACAGTCAAGCCATCAGCCGGTATGAATTCAAACATCCGACCTTCTCACATCACCAAGCCCGGAATTCTTTTTTATTAGTTCTGGGCTTCCACCATAGTTCCTAGCCACCACCGAGGGTGGTAGGCTGCTCCTGCCAGCCAAGTATAAACCTTCTTTGGAAGAGATCTTTCTCTGCAGTCCTGCTGAAGTCTATTGGATGTCCCAGTCTGAGGGCTGTCTGGCCGGTTGGTAGGGAGAAGAATGGTCACCCAAGCCCCAGAAAACTTGAGCAGCATCAGAACTGTGGCAGGCTGACAAGAGCCACATGGGGCTTGGCTCCCCAGGAGTTTAAGCTTTGGACACCTGGGAGAGTGCAGTCTGAAGGAGCTCTCCATAGACGCCTGTACTGCTGTCTTGAGGACCATCCTTGGGAAATTACCGTACTAACTTCCGGACTTGACACTGGAATTTTCCAGTACAAGCAGATAAATACTCTACCTTCCCAGAATAACCAAAAGAGGCAGAGAAACTTCTGTCTCCGTTCACATACAGGGCATTGTTTTGTGTATTTTCATTCTCTTTCCCCAACTTGATTCCCAGCGCTTAATCGCCTCATACAGTTCATGCAGCATCCTTAAACAGTGCCACACGTCCAGTGAGTAATCAGTCCTTTCAAGTGGAATTACACAAAGTTCCTACCGCAAAGAAACCTGGAATACGAAGAAGCACTGTGAAGAAGCCCAGAAGCTCAAGCCACCAGAAATCCATGTGCTGGAGAACGGAGCTACTTTGCCAGGAGAGCAAATGAACACACCTCTTAACTCCCCGATCTTCCCATCATCTAAGCAGCATTTTTATTCAATGACTAGCAAATCAAGGATTAAATAAACACCATCCTTTCAGACCGTCAGTTATGGGCTCCTCCCTTGCCTGATTCAGACGCTAATCCCATTGTTTTGGTTTGATTGTTGCGGGCAGGCGAAACAGAAGAGTTAAGATTTTAAATGTACAGTGTCTGCTGCCATCTTGTGGCCATTTGGAGCCAATGCCCGCTATCAAACTATGCACCCTTGCAGTACCTCGTTAACCTATACATATATACTCCTAGATAACCAAATCAAAAAAAAATTAATTCTTAATCTGTCATCTAAAATAACAAGATATGGCAAAAGCAGTTCAAATCAAAAGATAGGACTGGAGGCACACAAAATGCCTCCTTTTGGTACTGAATAATTTCGCCGCACTGGTCCTTGACCTCCTTTTCCGTGAAATGTGAATGCTGATGGCACCATCTTTCTAGTGCTTCCGGGAGAACTCCAAGAGATAATTCATGTACTTCTTGCAGTGGTGCTTTGTCCTTGGTAAGGCTCCCAAGACTCGTGCTCTGGTGGCGAAGATGATGGTGCTACATACAAATCAGCTTGCTCCACTCCAGGCCCACAGCTGACCATGCATTACAGGACTCTTCCATACCCAGCCCAACGTTCCAGAGATTCTGATTTGCTCAGAAGAGGGAGGAGCTGGGGCAGTTGCTCACTTGGAGGTTACTGTAAACCCCCACTCTTAAAATTATTTTAATTTTATTTTATTATTTTATGTGTATAAGTGTTTACCTACATGTGTGTCTGTGCACCATTTATGTGCCTGTGCCCATGGAGGTCAGAAGAGGGTGCTGTATCCCCTAGAACTGGACTTGCAGACTGTTGTGAGCTGTCATGTGGGTTCTGGGTATTGAACCCAGGTCCTCTGGAAGAGCCTAAACACTGAGCCATCATTCCAGCCCCTAAGCCCCACTTTTTTTTTTTTACAATGAATCACCCTTCTTCATAAAATTATTTGCTGTGGGTAGAGCATAGGTAGAGGATGAGAAAACCAGATCAACCTGGTCCCTGATCTATTTATGACAATCTGAGTGGAAGGACCAAGTGGCAGACGACACAGAATGTTGTGAAGAGTGACAGATGATGACCCGAGGTCTCCTCACTTTTAGATCTTAACATGTGCCAGGATTTTTTAAAAGCTCCCCATGTGACCCTAACGAAAGTCACTGTAGTAAATGCCCACAGAAAAGCTTCAGGCTCATCAATAGGACTGATCTTGTGAGGACTTCCCTGTAATCACAGCTGCTCTGGTGAGATGGGAACGGCCAAGCTATGCTCAAACGACAGTGCTCCACAACATCTGCATATGTGCATAGACTATCTGCATATACGTAATACCTCTATATTGACATGTGACTGTGATATACATATATATATGATAGTATATGGCTGCATATATATGCAGGAAGTGTTTGAGCACACATTACTATTGGCCAAGCATTACTAAATTCTGTTAAAATATACAATTACTTTTTATTGAGTGACCTAAAACTCCTTGGCAACTAAACAACTGGCTTTTTTTTTTAATTTGACCACACCGTGGCACTGGGGTAAACTTACAAACAAATCCCAAACGTATTTCTTCAACAGATGTATCTCATTTGGCAATGATGCTTTGCTTTGTATTTTAGCTTACTCTGTTAAGTTTGAAAACAAGCTTTAATTGTTTAAGAGAAGATGAGTGGGTCAGGGACCTAGTCGCTTAAATGCGTGTTCCAGGAGATGCAATTCCAATGTCCCAGGAGAATGGCACTCATCCTTGTTAATGGTACTGTTTAAATGGGTGAGTTTCTGAAGACGCAGAAGCAGAGTGGACTGGTACCCAGGGCAAGAAGGGGCAGGAGGAGGGGAGAGATCAGTTAAAGCACCAGGGTACCATTAGGGAGGATGAATAATTCTAGAAGCTACCGTTCACAGCACAAGAACTACAGCCAGCGGTAGTGAGTGGTGTGCTAGAAATGTGCTGGAGAGGTAGATTTTAGGTGCTTTCGTTGTTAAAAAAAAAAAAAAAAAAAAACAGTAACTTTGTGAGGAGATGGATGTGCTAACTCCCTTAACTGTAGTAAAACAAAACATAATGGCTATACCATAAACTAATACACAGTTTGAAGGAGAAATAAGTGGGTGGATATTATGATATTGTACCTCAATAAAGCTGTTTACTTTTTTTTTTTTTTTTTTTTTGGTTTTTCGAGACAGGGTTTCTCTGTGTAGCTTTGCGCCTTTCCTGGAACTCGCTTTGGAGACCAGGCTGGCCTCGAACTCACAGAGATCCACCTGCCTCTGCCTCCCGAGTACTGAGATTAAAGGCGTGCGCCACCACGGCCCGGCTGCTGTTTACATTTTTTAAGTTGATCTGAAATGGGAAATATGTGACCTTGGTGCACAATGAAGGGCGCGGCTCACCAGCTGCTACAGTGGACCCTTCGCTGCGTGGGTCCCAAGAACCGCACAGACTCTGCACTCAGCCTGTACCAATTCTCTGTTCTTCCCACAGGAGGATTACAACCAGCTGCGGCCACTCTCCTACCCCAACACCGACGTGTTTCTCATCTGCTTCTCTGTCGTAAACCCTGCCTCTTACCACAACGTCCAGGAGGAGTGGGTCCCGGAACTGAAGGACTGCATGCCTCACGTGCCTTACGTCCTCATCGGGACCCAGGTTAAAACGAGGGTGATGGAGGAGTGGGATGGGCTGTGCAAAAGGTGAACCCTGTATTCTCCCAAACGCCCTGACACAATCTCAGAGCTATTGCATCTTTAAATGGAAGTCCTGAAAGTGCATGATTATTTAGTTGAAAATATTATATAGTTATTTAATATGAAGCAGAAAGTTTTGATCTGGCGTTTAAAATTAACCTCAGTTTGCTTTTTAAATAACAAAATAATTTTTTAACAGACACTCTTCTCCAGCCCTGAATGAAGTAATGAAGCAAGGGCTTCAATTGTACATACTGATATTTTTGAAACTGGACATCACAACTGTTTTAACACAGCAAACTAGGTGTGCAGTTCAAAATGACCCTACACTCAGATACGGCATGTCTCCTTGATGGCCCTGCAGGAGAAGGAAGATGAACTCTCTGCTCTGCATTTTCCTTAACTCCTTTGGCCACCCAGATCTTAGGAAAGTTAAAACACACATATGAAGAGCAACATATATGAATTGTCAAGGCCTTGGAAGAGTTTGGAAGCTGATAAAATTCCACGGCCTGAATTTCCATCAGAACACCTCTTGTCGGTTGAGGACAGACTGAACTGTTTGTAGTGTGAATGGGTTTAGTTTTTTGCTGGTTTCAGATCAGCATTGTGTCCCGAGGTCAGGACTAGATCATGGCTGCAAGGCTTTATATTTGCTTCCCATGCTGCTACTTCTGATTTCTCATTTTGAATCCTATTTGACAAAGAGAAAATTTTGAAAGCCATAAATAAAAAAGTGATTTCTAAAAACAACATGGGCAGTTGGGGGTTATAATGTTTTCTCTTAAATACAGACAAAGTAGAAGTCATTCATCCACACTGCTGAGTGCAATTCACATTTCTGCTCTGAAAGATAACTGTTTGTTTGTTTAGATGAAGTCTTTCACCTTCAATTGCAAATATTGGTGTTTGTCCATGGTGAGAAGCCTTGATCCTGCTGCCGACACACACATAACTAGACATTCAAACCCCTCGGGGTGACTTGAGTCTGTCTGGAACAGACAGGCACTGAGTCAAATGATTGAGGAAAATAGAAAAACAAATGGAAACATAAAACCACGACTTTGCATAAGCATCGTCCTAATCGATGAAGTCCTAACACGACCTTGCTGACTTCCTTTAAGAAGCTAACTCTGTGTGCCCACATACGCGGTGACATTTGAAAGCAACCACAATGCTTAGTGAATTGTTCAGTCTCTTACCTGCTGCCTTCAAAGCAGTTCCCACTTGAGAGAGATTCTGCTGTTTGACTGTGTGAGCCCTTTGGTCTCTCCTCTCCGGGACTCCCCTGCAAGGGCTCCCTGTCCATTTGTTATCTATTGAAAAGGTCTCACAAGTAGCAAATCTCCATCCTTTTGAAGGTCAAGATTTGATTCAAAAAAGAAAAAAAAATGGATCCAAAGCCTATATATATATATATATATATATATATATATATATATAGTATAATGAGTGATATAAGTTGCCAAGCTGCAATCAAATAATTAACCACTGTAAGGCACCCAGACCATCTGGTTAGCCTCTATGCACCCTCTGTGTAGTCCAGAAAGAAAGAAAAAAATTCAAAATCCCAGATAGCACAAGATCTTTGGAGGATGTTCTCAGCAGCCAGGGTAAATGACTTGAAGAGGAAAATATAAGAATACCCTGCTACATTCATGTACCAAAAAAAAAAAAAAAATCACACTCTCAGATACAGATACAGCATGGGGGTGTATACTGGTTTCTCTGAGAACATTCAGCAACATCAAAGATGTTAAGGGGGGGCGGGGGTTACTATCTAATGTCTGCACTTAAAATAACCCGTAAGGCCTGAAAGTAGTGAATGTATCTTTGTCCCAGATTGATCTCCGGGATGACCCCAAAACCTTGGCACGTCTCCTGTACATGAAGGAGAAGCCCCTCACCTACGAGCATGGCGTGAAGCTGGCAAAAGCGGTATGGTCATATTTGAATTGAGGGTTCGGGGACGGGTGAGCTGTGCAGGATTTTGCCTTAAAACTGTGGTGTGTTTCGAATCGTTCCTGTTTCGTTCCTTCCTCTGGTCTCGAAGAGCTAGAAGGGGCCGTTCTGGTGAGTGTTCCTGTCAGCAGGCACCTTCTGCTTCTCATTAAGAAACTTGGTCAGTTTCAACAGCTAAGCACTTAGCATGCTGTTTCGGCCATGTCTAGAACACAGACCTGCCACATTTAGCAGGAATTAAGGGGACTCATTAGACGCACATCTGTAAACCTCCTTGTTTATCATCAGTATAATTCATCTAAATGACCTCATATGAGGCATTTTGTGATTTTTTTCCAGGGAAAAACTTGGATTAAAATCTGACAGTATTATCTTTGTCCAATACCTCTCTTCCAATAATGAACAGCCACTTAGTCTGGACAGTGTTACAAATAGCATATGGAAAAAATGACACACAGCTAAGAGGAACTGGGGGGAGGAATCTAAGTGTCTGCGTGACAGATGAAGTCAGCTAGCACAGGGCTGGAATTACCTCCACTGACCATCCTTCACTTCTGAGAAGTTAGCCATAAACAGTGATCTTGCAGGAGTGCTTCAAAATGTATTTGCCAGACACCAAATCTTTGCCTCTCTGCCACCACCACGACGTGTGCAAAGCAGCCACTAAAACGGACACGTGTGCATGGGAATTCTTTCTGCAGATGGAGACGTAGGGTCTGCATTTCCCTAATTTGAATCCACTTCCTCCTGGATTTAGTTACCAATCCATCAGTCCAAGCAGGAGACTTTAAAATTTTAATGTTTTACTTTCTAAGTAACTAACCCTGCAAATGCATTCCCCCAGGCAGTCAGTCACCTTCTCAAGACCAGTCAAAGATAGCATTAACTACAACTTACTCCTTAGCAAAAGGAAAAAAGCGTTTCTCTTATTAAAACTCGGTTAGAGGTACCAAAGGTAATATGACACCCTCCTTGGAAGCGGATTAACTCTGATGTCTTACAGGCACAATACATAAAGACATCACACACACACACTTGGACTCTCTCTACTTCCACCACAGTCCCGTCAATATAACAAGTACAAGCCACTGAGGAGATATTGGGATGCTAAACCTCTCGGGGTGGGGGCGGGGAAATAGCCCTGGGGAGACAAGCAGGTCTGGATCACAGAGACATTTGAACTGACCATCATGCCTATAGTCTCTTCTCCAGTCGTGGGGGCGGGGTGTCTGTCTGTCTGTCCTCCGGGAAAGTGAGTGGGTCTGGGGTTCTCCTCCCATACTCAGCCTCAGATGCTGTCATTAACACGCATGTTAATGTATGTAACTGTATGTGGCTCGTCCCACTGTTTCTACAGTAGCTTGCTCTCTCCGTTCCTTGTCTCTGGGACTGTCCTCATCTTCATCCTGGTTTCTAGCCTCACTCCTTATGTGGGAAGTTGGTTTGGGGTTTGGGGTTTTCCCTCTCCAAAGCCTCCCATTTCATTTGAGATTTCCTTTAAGAACCGTGGCTGAGTTCAAGGCTTGGTTGCCCTTTTGCCGACCTCTCCTAGCACCTGCTCTCAGAGTCACAACCATGTTGAGCCTAGGAAATCCAATCTAAAAGAAAGCCAAGTGAGATCTTAGCTGGCTTCATGGCAATTCATGTAATTACAGAAATGTTTTTAGTCTTGGATTCCTCTGTCAAGCACTTTGTTATAATAGCTAGCATTTACACAGTGTTGATCATGGGCGTGTCCTGGGCTTCCTCTTAGTTAATCCTCAAAGCACCTCCTGTGGTGTGTGTATTATTGTCAACACTTTTCTAGAGGAAACTAAGGCTATATGAGACAGCCAATGCTCCAGCCACAGCGCCCTTTAGCTCCCTTCTAGGGTCTGCAAACAAATTCTTCAATTTGGGGCTCCTTTTTCATAGACTGCTAGGGACAGCGGAGCAGAGTAGTTCAGTCCCTGGCTTGGGAGTTGGGCAAATCCTCATCTCTGCCACTTCCAGCCAGTTTTCTGGTCTGTAAATGAACTGGCAAGAGACTTGCCTTCTTGGGTTCCTGGGTGCTACAATGAGTTGACGGACCATAAGTTGACTCAACAAACTGTCCCTGTTGGCCACCCTGCCCCTTAGACTCAGCAAACTGTCCCCATTGGCCACCTGACCCCTTAGACTTATCTGCAGCTGGGAAGACATTTGCCTCCGTTCCACTACTAGTTTTGTTTTTGTTTTTAGAAGGCTCTCATTGTAGCCCAGGCTGGCCCTGAACTCAGTATATACATGAGGATGACCTTGATCCTCTACCTTTCTGTCTTGGCTGGTGTCACATCTGATTTTATGCAGAGCCGGAAATGAAAATCCAGGCTTTGTACATCCTGGGCAAGAATGCTGCCAGCTAGGCTTCATCCCTCACCCTTCTAGCTATTTCTATGCCTGGTCAGCATGTTCCCCTCGAGTCCAAGGAAGGAGAAAGAAGAAGTACCAGCTTGCCATTTCACTTGATGAGTCATGTTACAAGTTGGTTGGTTTCCATTTCTTCTCATCGCTCTTGTGTGTCCTGTGCCTTTGTGATACATTTCCCAGCACGGGAAACAATGGATCTTAAGTATTGTAAAAAGGTATCAGAAAAGTGTTTTGTCCACAGCCTCAAGCTCACCTTTGTTTTGTTTCCTTGAAATGTGTCCGTTTAGTAAAACTTGCTTTAGATCGCTTACATGTTATCAAAACCAGGAGTCCCTGAGCTTCTGCAGATGGATCCTAAATACTTGCCTGAGTGGGTCCTTGTGCTCCAAGAACCAGGACAGGGTGCTAATGTGAACAAGAAGGGCTGTGTTTCCTTGACACAATTTTCCATTTCAATCTTCGGCAACCCTAAAGAATTTTTAAGCATTCTTTCTAACATGTCTGTGCCCTTTCCCTGAACCAGGACAAATGCTTCTCTCTGACCTTCTGAGCACGTAGAACATGGCAACAGATAATCATCTCACAACTGGGCTCTGTTTCTCACACGTACATCCCAGGTCACACCCCAAATCCGTTGGCTACTTTTCCTGGAACTATCAGCACATCAGAATGTTACGTTAACCTCCTCACACAACAATGCCTTTATGGACCATCTCGTTGTCTTCCCCCCATGTCAGAACTGGGAGAGACAAGTCTGGGCTCCTCCTCTATCATTCAGAGGCACAGGCCGACGGGTTAATAATACACTCATACACTGTCCCCCTGGCAGCGCTGTGAGGAGGAAGAGAGCAAACCCCACCCATCTCTCAGGGTCCCAGAAGGGATCAACAGTCAGCCAAAGCCCTGGAATTTTCAGAATCAGTCTTTGGCTTTAGTGGGAAGGTTATCCGATTACAATAGCCTCCAGTCCTTTCTAGGGTTTTGTTGTTGTTGTTGTTGTTGTTCTCTCTGTATAACCAACAAGAGTCATCACCTCACCAGCAAGCAGCCATTCAGTTAACCATTGACTCCCTGTGCTTTTTACATGTGTGCCTGTCAAGCATGGAGACAACCCCCAAAGCCAACACATGACATTTCACGTAATTGTGAGAAAAAGATTTTCTCTACCCCCTTTTCCCTCTGTCTCATATCCTGTTTTTAATAAATTTTTTAAGTGGTTTCCAAATCTAAAGGCCAAACCATTGCCAAAACAAAATCCATAAAGTCGGCTTTCAACACGCACTGATGGTCTCAATTCCCTGCCTTTGGCATTTCCCACTGGCTTATAAAACAGCCAGTCTTGTCAGAAAAGAACACATACCAAAAAAAAAAAATACTTACTGTCTATAGGAAGAGTTTTGAAATAAGTTTCCGGACCTAACCAAAGCAATTTTATTTCATCCTGAGTCTTCATATCTGTGACGTTTCAAACAATCCCATTTCAGTGATTGTCAGCTTGGCCAACTTGTTGCTGGGCTGGGTAATAGGGGTCATAGAAGCTCATAGAGTAAAAAAACAGCACACCTCGAGGGCTGAAAAGATGGCTTATCATGTAAGAGCACTTGCTATACAAACATTTGAGCTATACATGAGTTTAAATCCCTAGCACCCACAGAGAAGCCAGACTTGGCCACTTGGGCCAGTAACCCTAGCACTGGGGCAGGGACAGGCAGATTCCAGGGGGTCACCGGCCAGCCAGATCCAGGGAGAATAAGAGACCCCGTCTCCAGGGAACAGGACAGAGAGTGATAGAGCAAGACACCTGATATCCTCCTCAGGCCTACACACACACACAGAGATACAGATACACACACACACACACACACACACACACACACACACACACACACACACACACATACACACACACACTCACACACACCTCAAGAGACAGAGATTTTAAATGTAGTTCTCTCTCTTTCTGGTGGAATGTTCATTTTGCCTTGCTTGGGCTGAATCCATTCTTGTCTAAGATAAACCACAGGATTTTCTTCACATTATGCAAACGTCCTGATGACCGATGAATAGCGAATGCCCCCAACATCTGTATCCCGAATGACCCACAGAACGTTTCTTTCAATTATGCATATTAACTAAAACTCTAAATCTCCAACTCTCTGGAAAAATAGGAAAACAAACAAGCCATGACCCAGAGTGACCTTGCAAAAGCTGGGAAGGTCACCCATTTCATACTAGTAGGGACACAAGTCACAGTCCCCTTCTCCTGGTCCCCCAGAAGCCCTATGTACCATCGCTATGGGTTTCCAGCTATAAAACAATGGCGCTTTTGCTGACATGTTTCCCCAGTTCATCTGTCATAGTTTCCAGCTTCAGTATCCAGCAAACCTCTTCTGCATTTGCCCTGCTTTTTTCAAAGTCAGCTTCATAATGGAAAACCACCAAAAAAATAATAATAAGGTGTTTCTCCAGATGTTCTTAATATTCAGAGGCCCTCTGCACATAGTTGGCTCATGTGAGCTTATGAGATGTGAACACCCAGGCCTCTTCCTTCACCGAAGCTGACTGCCTGGCCAATGATTTTCTTAATGAGAATCAACAGTTTCTGGTCTAGGTTTCTATGTTTCTCATGAGGATTTTATGATTCTCAAATACCCCATATGAAATAACTTATTTTTACTCTTCAAGGGGCTGGAGGGTTGGCTCAGCAGTTAACAGCACTGGCTGATCTTCCAGAGAAGCTGGGTTCAATTCCCAGCACCCACAACTGTCTAACTCTAGTTCCAGAGGAACTGATGCCATCTTCTGGCCTGCATTGGTACTACATGTGTGCAGATATACCATGCAAGCAAAATGCCCATACACATATTATTATTATTATTATTATTATTATGAGTTTTTAATAATTAATGAGTAATTGTTATAATAATTCAAAATAAAACACTAACCCAGTACAAAATACATATCACTCAAACATAAAAACTGTACAATAAAGAAAGATGTCTCATCAATGAATGTCTTCTATGATTTTTATGTCTTCGTGTTTTAGTGTTTTAATTTAAAACATGCTTTTTAACATATATTGATATTGAATAATAATAGCAAACAGGTATTATGTTGCCAAGAGATACATAGCAATAAGGAATAACCTAAGATAGCTGCCACCCACACCTCTGAGGTGCCGGTAGGCCCAGTGACCCTGCTTTATTCCACACAGACGGGCCTCTCACTTTATTGTCATGCTACACTCCATACACAAAGGGAAGGACACTGGAAACAGGCTGTGGGGGGGGGGGGGACAAGCTGACCGGGGGGGCTGGCAAGGCAGAGGATTGACACTCACGACTCTTTGTTTGTGTTTAAGATTGGCGCCCAGTGCTACTTGGAATGTTCTGCCCTGACTCAGAAGGGTCTCAAAGCGGTTTTTGATGAAGCCATCCTCACTATTTTCCACCCCAAGAAAAAAAACAAGGGCTGTTCAGAGTGCCACGGCTGCTGCGCAATTATCTGAAGTTGCCTGAGACCTGTCTCCCTGCCATCCAAGGGTGTGAAGAGCAGTCAGTCTCTGGGACCCGCCTCTAGCCAAAAGGGAGGGCATGACCAGAAAGGAATCCCTGCATCCCGAAGGCCTGTCACTGTGCCCTGCCAGCTTCCCAGCTCAGCATCCTGTCACCACTGCCTCCTCCCCAGGCTGGAGCATCCACACTGCGCATGGAGAACGCTGAGCCACATTCAGACAGTGCGCTGGGGAGGTATTGGAAGCAAGTCACAATTGTCCTGTATTTCACATCTCCCCTTCCACCGATGTGAGCCAACGGGAAGTCACGCTGGAAAACCAAGCACTCTGTCCTGCAGTGGGGGCCTTACTTCCTGTGTTTGCCAACTTGGGAATACAATGCCGACATTTTTCCTGAGACTGTTGTTTCAGCCAAGTGTCTTAACATTTGTTTCTATTACAGTTTCCTGAGGTCCAGTCATTTGAGCCTCGAAAGTCCGTATCAAAATAGTTCAAAGACAAGCTGGATTATGCTCACTCCTATTGACAGTGGGTCTCTGCCAATGTCCTTAGAGCCAACATGTACCTCTGAATGCCTGATTACAAAACAAAAGCAAAAACAAAACAAAAAAAACTTTACAACTTTTATAAACTGTCAGAGCTATAATTTTTTAGCCTTTTAAAAAAAAAATCCTGTGAATTATTACACCTTCTCCAGTTTTGCCAAAGATTCATCCTACAAATGCTTCAGGTGACAGGGGTCCTGCTCTTGCAAACATCTACTGTCATTCAACCTGAAAATGGACAGTCTTTGAAGAAAGAAATAGATTTCTGCTTTTCATCTAATTTGGTCAGGACAAGAAGATGGCAAAAGCCATCTTCCTGATCCAGCAGAGTGGGCCTGCCCCACCCCTCACAGGTCTGTGCCTTCCCTCCAGTCACACTTTCTCCTGTGCCCAGGAGAAACTGGGGAACATGTTCCCCAGTCACAGCCTGGGGAAAAAGAAAAAGACCTTAAAAGAAAAAAAAGGGGGGAGGGCTCTGGACACCAGAAATGAAAAATGTGTCCCAGAATCCTTCAGGGTCAAAGTGCCTTAACTCTTCTACTTACTTCAACTGAAAGTGCTACTCGGCTTGCCCATATTAAGCTTCAGTTCAGGACAGTTTCCAATTGCAGCCGGTGCGAAAATTATTGCCTCTCTCCTTCTTTCCTTAACTCCTTCTCCCAAATGTCCATGGAGCATAAGCTTAAGTGGATCCCATTCCAGCCTGAGGCACTGCACCTAATGGAGAGTTTGGTCCTGATCAGGAAAACTTCCCGTGAGAAATCCTGCACCTTTCAACGTGACAATTCCCAAACAGCCAGGGACTCTCTGTGTTTTAATTAGAGGCTGTGATTGGCCCTGATTAGTCTTATTTGCTTACAAATGCCCTGGAATTACCCAGGGAAGCTGATTTCTCCTTTTTTTTTCTTTATTGCATCAGTAAATCATATCTTAGCAATATGAAAATATTTCACTTTTTCTGAATTGAAGCTCCATCTGTTGGGAAAAGCATCCCAATCTTTCTAGTCTTTTCTGCTCATAGAGGAACCACAGAAGAGAATTGTATGATATGGGTCTTCTTAAGACCTTCCATGACACCCCTTTAGTCTTTGGGGGTTTTGTTTGTTTGTCTGTTGTTTAGAATTTCTGAAATGTATTTTTGCTTCCTCTACATGTCAGTACTGTTTGATTTCTCTCCCATATAATGGCAAAGAGTTTTCTGAAACACACACATACATGCATCCATACACACACATGCATATCATATATACATGCACACTCACATACATGCATGCACACGTGCCACCTAAAAGGAAATAAGAGTTCTGTCTGCTTTCATACAAGGAAATCGAATATGCATGAGCCATAATGCTGTGGAGGCTATTATTTACCTTCAGCTAGGCAATGAGTATGTGATCCTATAATGACATTAGTGCTGTGAGCCAATTCTGCTACAGTATGGCATAGTTGCATCTTGCTAGTGGGCTGTTCCTCACTTCTTATTTTTGTGGAGGAAAGACTGAAAGCAATACATTGGCTCCACCAGAGAGAGTTCCCTAATATGTGCAGTCAACAGGCAGATCTCTCCCCCTAGCCATCAGCTCCAAAATGGACCAATGAGATTTCTATAGCAGGACCTGATTTGTTTTATAAAAATGTCTGCTGCCCCAAGGTTGAATAACAACTGTTCTGAGAATTAGAAACAAAAAGAATTATAGAAATCAAAATAAAGATTTGCTAATAGTCCACTCCATCTTCCAAAGTCAACAAATGGCAGCTGATATCCATGTGAGGACAGAAAAGGTCTCAGAACCTGTAGCACAGTCCCTCAGTGTGCAGATGAGACACTCAGCTGGGATCAACTGAGAGCGATGTGCTGTGCAGAGCTGAAGCAATTCCTGACATCTGCTTCCCACCCAGCACTAGGCAGTCCCACACTAGTTCACTTGTCATTACCCATATCAAGTTGGAGTTCTGCAAGCAGATCAGTAGAGTTGCATTTGTTTCTCTTACATCTTTCAGCCATATTTTAAATGCTTAATTCCATGTAGTTAAGCCTCTATAGACAAAGTAGTAATCCACCACACTGGTAAGGTGTGGTAAAGTGAGAGAATTTGATCTTCTCACCAATATGCCTGCAATCCAGAGCAAACTGCCATGTAATTAAGTAGCTAGTTTGATGGATTTTTTTTTTCACTTTGATGGTTGATTGTTCAATAGAGTTGATGAGCAGCTTAAGCTAAGACACAAATCAAAGCCATGTTCATAGTAAGAAACCTGGGCTGATTTCTTCCAAGGAAATTCCGTTCTAAGAACCACTCTAGAAGTCATTAACAACTACAACCTAAACCAGGAATTACAGAAGAGCAAAGTCAAAACCTAAGCTCTGCACTTCCAATGGGGAGTGGGTTTCGGGTTTTTCGGGTTTTTGTTTTTTTGGGTTTTTTTTTTTTTTTGAGGATAATATGTATGGTTATAATACATAAAGAATTATTGGGAAGACTTCTGGTCTGTAGGAGCACTGTCAATTGAAGTGGATGTAGCCATCCACGATTCTCACTGCACCACCAACAAGGAAATAGAAGGAAACCAGTCATAACTAAACCTACAATGTTTGAAGGAAATAAAAAAAAAAAAAAACCTAAGCCAGGCGTCTGTGATCCCTGTACTTAAGAGGCAGAGGCACAAGGATTTCAGTCAGTTTAAGGCCAGCCTGGTCCACCATTATTTGAGGTGTAAGTTCCTATGAGCAACAACCTTAGGAAATTCAGCATTTTCAAGGAGAAACTTCTGAATTGAGGCAAACCTCTTAAAATACCATATAATGGAGCTAGAAATGGTGGCACGCACATATAATCCCAGCACTCAGAAAGCTGAGGCTAGATGATCATTAAGTTAAGTCCAGCCTGGGCTACACAGTGACACTCTGCCTCAAAAAAGAGTTCACAGAAGCCACGTGACATTCACTGAGCGAACATTCCTGAGACCAGTGCGATGAAAACTTCAAGTTGTGCTTTTGCTTTAAAGACATATTTGATGTCATGCTGGACATTGTTATCTAACATGTTCTATGTTGTTTTGAAATCCATCCTTGTTCAGATGCCTGAGCGTGAAGTGTGCTCGCTCTCAAGAGAGCTACAGATGACTGGCTATTCTCTTGGTAGTCTCCAACTTCATTGAGAAGACTTTCCCAAGCACTTGTATTCCCAGAAACAGTATCTTTTCTGGAATAATAGAAACAGAAAGGAAAAGGAGTCAGGCAAACTGAGTTGCTTACAAAGGAAGGTGAGCACTCTGAGAAATGAGACGTTTAAGGAACCAAGAGGAAGTTACAACTAAACACAGGGCAAACCACAGGCTTGCTCACTCTGGGGAGAGTTCACTTCTGACCAGCATCCAGAGGCTGAGGAAAGCTGAAGACTGAGAATGTCAAGACCATGGCATGGGCAGTCATGGCAAACCCTGTGGTAACATTAGGAATTCTGCTCTGAACGGAGGTCTGCGGGTGCTCTTTGCAGCTTTAATGGCACGGTAGAGGAGAAATCTTCCACATCCTCTGCCTGTGCGTAGCAGAAAGTCAAGGGAAACTTACTAAGAAACAGGAATGAATACATAAATAACCTCGAAAGTCCCATGAGCTAAACCTTGATAAGGCTAACTCTGGAATACTTGTGCTCAGGTATACAGGTGATATTGATTCATGTTCACAAAGATATCTGTAGGTGGAGTTTTCCTGCCTGGCCCACAGTCAGGGCAAATCTCTCTCACCTGCCAGTCCCACAGCCGTCAGACCCGACCAAGTAAACACAGAGACTTGTATTGGTTTCAAACTGTATGGCCATGGCAGGCTTCTTGCTAACTGTTCTTTCAGCTTAAATTAATCCATTTTTATAAATCTATACCTTGCCACATGGCTCGTGGCTTACCGGCATCTTCACATGCTGTTTCTCATCGTGGCGGCTGGCAGTGTCTCTCTCACTCAGCCTTCCACTTCCCAGCTTTATTCTCCTCCTTGTCCCGCCTACACTTCCTGCCTAGCCAATGGCCAATCAGTGTTTTAATTATTGACTAATCAGCAACACATTTGACATACAGAACATCCCACAGCAGATATCCCTAAATACAAAGATTATATTAATAATAACAGATGCTATCAGTGCAGAAAAATAAGATAAAATGATCGAGTTCATGGTGTTTCTATGGTCAGCAATAAACAGAAAAGTACCCAGAACACCAAGCTCTCTGCTCAGCCACCAGGGTCTTAGCCTGTCTCTCAGGGGGGTCAGAAGGGAGTGAGCCAGGGCCTGGCTCATGTGTGAAAGGGTGGGATGTAAGTTCAACCCCAGCCATGGGCCTTGAGGCTCCATTCCAAGAAATTAGACTAATGGCTGGATGATGAATCTTGGTTACTACTTGTGCTTTACTTCTAAGGGGCTGTAATGTTCAAGACAAGGGTTGCTTTGGTGCACGGGTGTTAGAAGCATGGCCCAGAACCTTCATAACACTAAAGCCAGAGCAGTGTGTGGTCTTTAGCAACGAACCCCGAGGTTTCAGGATGTGAGATATCTTTGCTGAATGGCACCCAATCGGTGTCACTGAGGATGTGAGACCTGCCGCACTGTGAAGAAAGGGAACTTGGACTAGCAGATCTGGCCTCCCACTGGCCTCCATGAGGCAGTGTTTGGAGTTTGTTAGACCTTTGGAGGGAAAACAGAAACACTTTCTGAGCAAGAGCAATACATCTTGGGCGGTTAATAGATCTGCATCTAAAATCACCTTTCCCCGTCATCTTTGATACATTTGTTAAGCAATCAGGTTATTGCCTCTTCAAGAAGCCCCAGGCAAGAATGTTAATGAATTTGTACTCTCATCACTCGGTAGAATTGCCTTTGCTCTTAGTAAGCAGCAAGCACATATACTATATACAGGGACATTACCGAACTGTAACCGCTGCTTCTACCATACATATAAGGTGCACAGAGTCAAGGGACTTCCAGCCAGCTTGCTCCTAGGGTGGTGTTCCTATAGTCTCCCATGTAATGGCTATTCTCTGTACTTGTTGCATAATTAATGGAATATTATTTCATGTACTCTAATCTCACTGTTTATCTGTATCACATTTTTGACATGTCATTAAATGGCCTTTTTTTTGTTGTTGTTCTGTTCTCATTTGTGGGGTCATCGGGGATTTCCATCAGCCACTCATGCAAATTGCCTTCTGAAGGTGTCTTTCTACAATGGGAAGTTGTCCAGCTCCTTACTACTCAAATGTGATCCAAGGGTTGGCAGCATCGGCATCACTTGGTAGCTAGTCAGGAGTATAGCATTTTGGGGCCCAGTTGAGACCAACTGAACCAGAACTTGCACTTTAATAAGACCCCAAGTGACTCAGACATATATTAAAAATGAGGACATATAGTCTGTGAGATATCCAGGTCCTTATCATTCTGTATATCCAAGCATAGCGCTGAATGATGAAGAAGGAATCAGTGTAGATGGTCTCTCGGATGCTGCCATGTAGGTGCTGCTTAGGTCAATATTTAAATCATTCATCTACCAGTTGACTAGAGAGTTGTCGATGTCTTTTCTTTTCGTCATATGCCGCCCAGCTGCGGTCAAAGAACAACGTATTTGGAAGCAAGCAGAAAAGCAGCATCTGGCTTGAAAGATCTGCTAAATCTAAACTATTCCATTCTGAAAGTCATTCTGGTATTTATAAGTGTCCTACTTTGCTTCTCTGTTGCTTTGATGAAACACTGACCAAAAGCAGTTGCAGGGAAGAAAGGACTTATATGACTTACAGGTTCCAGCCTGTCATCAAGGGAAGCCAGCGCAGGAGCTCAGACAGAAACTTGGAGCAGGGGCTGTGGAGGGGCGCTGCTTATGGTCTTGCTCTCCATGGCTTGCTCAGCCTGCTTTCTTATACACCCCAGAACCACCTACCCAGGAGTGGCACCACCCACAGTGAGCTAGGCCATCCTACGCCAATCATTGATCAGGAAAATGCCCCACACAGATGCCTATAGGCCAATCTAATAGCCTGGGTGTGCTTCCCAGGGCTGGGATTACAGGTGCACAGTGTACTTGACTTTTTACACGGGTGCCAGAGATCTGAACTCAGGTCCTTATGCCCGCACAGTAGGCACTCTACCAACTAAGCCATCCCCCCATAGCTCCTTGTTTGGTGAGTTCTCGTCTCTTTTCTGGGACAGTCAAATAAAATCCCAGTCCAGGCTTCCTGCAAGCCTGTGTTCATTTAAATAGAAATGGTTCTGCAGAAATAACCAAATGCTGAAGAGGAGAAACCCCCTGGTTTCTAAGCCTACTTACTTTTCCGCCCCATGTTCGCCACTTACACTCTCCAAACTGGCTGAGCACGTTCGTGGAACATTAGTCCTTTGGGCTCTGCTCTCCAGTCTTATAATGCTGAAGTTTGCAGGCTGCTTCCAATGGACTTGGTTTCTCATTTAGAGCGGTTAAGGCATCCATGGGGAGAAGTTTCATGATGATTTCTTGAGCTTGCTCAAGCAGGCCCCAAAAGCTGAGCAACAATCTTCCTGAAACACTTCCAAAGTGTTTTTAAGTGCCAGATGTTTTGAGGCCCCCAGCTCCCAAACCACTACCATGTATTTTAAGTATGATCAGCATATTCCAAAAAGAAATGGAAGCTACAGACTCAGAACAGCCTGGAAGCTTGGGTCACCTAACTTGATGGCTCACCTCTCCACACAGTGGACAGCAAACCCGAAGAGCACACACTTCAGGTGGGAAGAACATGTCTACAAACGGCGCTAAACCCTCCTTCAAGACAATTAGTTTGGAGCATGCCATTATATTTTATTTAGTTTGTTTTCAGAGACTACATGTTCTCTCAAATGGTTTTAATTTGTATCTGTGACTTTACCTTTATTCCTTGATTGTATCCCTGTCTTCAACACTGCTAAATGTTCACGTTCAGCTCTGCAATATCAATATCCCTGTTAAATCAAGATGGTTTTTGTTGTCTTCCAAGGACTGTTTGTCATTTATCTCAGTGGTCTGGGGATTTCTAGGGAAGGTCTTGCATGACTTTCTTTTTAAATAATGACTTTATTTATCCTTTAATAAGTCCCACCTCCCTCCCCATCCAACTCCAAGTTCTTTGTCTTTCTTTTTTTTTTTTTTTTGGTTTTTCGAGACAGGGTTTCTCTGTGTAGCTTTGCGCCTCTCCTGGAACTCACTTGGTAGCCCAGGCTGGCCTCGAACTCACAGAGATCCGCCTGGCTCTGCCTCCCGAGTGCTGGGATTAAAGGCGTGCGCCACCACCGCCCGGCCGAAGTTCTTTGTCTTTCTAAAAAAAAGTACATTAGTGTTGACTAACCAACTACTCCTGAGCACGAGGCTTGCCCTGGGGTGTGGTTGACAAACCCAGCGCCATTCCTTTGAAGAAAACTAATGTTCCCTCTCCCAACAGCTATCAGTTGCAAATAGCTTCTTGGCTTGGGGTGGGACTTCATATCTACTTCTCCTCCAAGTTGAAGGAACTTAGGGTCAAGTACAAAGTCAACAAGTTGGGGGGGTGGGGAGGGGCTTGCTTTATTTTTCATGATAAAGGTTTAGAAAGATGGCTAGACTAACCCTCTAAATCCTTCCCGCTGGGGAAGTGTCTGCCTTACATTGCCGATTCCGTGCACCTGCTCGCTCCTTCTCTCACTCCTTCCCTAGCTCCCTTAGATGTCACCTGCCTGAAGAGCTTTTGTACCCCCCATAGACACTTCAGGCCACAGCAACCAGACATGAACCCCTCCTGACTACCCAACACACCATTCCATCCATAAAACCAAAGGCAAATGCCTGAAGAGCCATCATGTAAATAAGGAGCAGACTTGGGCGCCAAAAGGTGTTCCATTAGGAGAAAAATCTCAGCGGGATCAGGGAGGGGGCTCAGCAGGTAGGGACCCTGCAATAAAATCTGATGGCCTGAGTTCAATCCCTAGGACCCCCAAGGTAGAAGGAGAGGACTAACACCCTTGGGTTGTCCTCTGATCATACACACTCCATGGCACTGGTACACACACACACACACACACACACACACACACACACACACACACACACAACATTGAAGAATTCGCTAAAGAATAGATTAAAAAGTTATTTTTAGTAGTTTGCTTAAGATTCTGAAGTTGAAAACCAAGAAAGATGGGAGCATAATATTTTGTTTCTCTGTTTATTTTAGTTTTTTAAAATATAGTCTCAGCCGGGCAGTGGTGGCACACACCTTTAATCCCAGCACTTGGGAAGCAGAGCCAGGTGGATCTCTGTGAGTTCAAGGCCAGCCTGGTCTACAGATCGAGCGAGATCCAAGACAGGCACCAAAACTACACAGAGAAACCCTGTCTTGGAAAACCAAAAAAAAAAAAAAAAGGAGTCTCACCACATAGCCCAGGCTAGCTTCAGACTCTTGATCCTCCTGCCTCAGTCTGCTGAGTGCTGAGATGACAGGTATATGCTACCATTCCTGGCACTAGGGGTACATAAATATGTATATATTTGAAATAAATATATCCTGATTGAAGAAGACAAGTAGGTCTCATGAAAAACTTTATGAAATGCAAATTATTTTATGAATTTGCATTATTTTTCAATTAGATACATAGTTCGTTGTCTATAAAATGATTTTATTGGTTTAAAATGCAATCAATCTGATGAGCTAATTGGGCCATCACAGAAGAACCTAGTGCTTTCCTAATGTCTTGTGGAAGAGGGGAAACATGAATTACCACTTCCACCAGGAAGTGAAAGGAAGCCAGAAGTGAAATGGTCTGTGAAGGTTTATATTTCCATATGAACCCAGCATGATGCACATGCCTGAAATCCCAGTACTCAGGAAGTGGAGACAGGAGGATCAGGAATTCAAGATTATCGTTCACTACACAGGGAGGCCATCCTGGGCTACTTGAGAGTCTATCTCAAGGAGAGAGATCAGGGAAGGAAAAGGAGAGGATTTACGTTACCTAATCAACACCGCTCTGTAGAAAAGAACTCTCCCTACTCCTTACCTTTCACTAACTACAAAATAAACGTATTTCTGAATAAGGAATTGCTGAGCAACCATTTATTGGGAGCTAGTCTGGGAGGCCCCGGACCACCATAACCCTCACCTCTGGTTTCTTTTAAACTTCTGCTGTAGCATGGTTTCTTTTCTCCCTCAGACACTTCTCTGGTAAGATATGATCTGTGCTACAGAAACCATCCCTTTCCTGAGGTGACACAGGAAACCAGGTGAACATCCCAATCTCCACAGGGTGACCCAGCCTCCAGGAATGACAGAAAAAGCTAATGAGCAGCCTGGCATCCCTCAGCTCAGGCTGTGCCAAACAGGAATGACTCAGAAAAACCTTTCCCAAAAGGTATCATCATGCCTCAGTAGAACATGGTTGATCTGAGTCAGAGAAGCCAAGTGTCTTAGTCAGGATTTCTATTGCTATGAAGCGATACCATGACCATGGCAATTCTTTCAAAGGAAAACATTTTATTGGGGCATGCTTACAGTTTCAGAGGTTTAGTCCATTATCATCATGGCGAGTAGTATGGCAGCACGGCGGCAGACATGGTGCTGGAGAAGGAGTGGAGAGTTCTGTATTTTGATCCCCAGGCAGCCGAAGGAAACTGTGTGTCACACTGAGCAAAGCTTGAGCACAGGAGACCTCAAAGCCCACTCCCACGGTAACAAACTTCCTCCAACAAGGCCACAGCTTCTCCAATAAGGCCATGCCTCCTAATAGTGACACTCCCTATAGTCAAGCATTCCAACCCATGAAACTATGCGGACCATAACTATTCAAACCACCACACCAGGCACATGTGGCTTATTAGCTGTGTTAGCATGGACAAGTGACTGGGTATGTCAGCTTTTTGGCTTCCTCATCCATAAACCAGCAATGGTAAAATGATACTAATAATACTTAGTAGTATGGTTGACACAGACTAAAGACGTAAGACCAGAGAGATGGTTCAGTCAGTAAGGTGTTTGCCGTGCCAGCATGAAGACCTGAACCTCCAGAACCCACAAACAACAGCGCACAAACTGAGCTTGGTAGCACATGTTTGTAACCCCACCCCTGGAGAGATATAGACAAGAGAATCCCTGGATCTCACTGGCCAGCCAGCCTAGCCTAATGAGCGAGCTGCAGGTTCAGAGAGAGGCCTCTCACAAAACAAGAGGTAGATAGCTCCTGAGAAATGATGTCAGGGGCTGACCTCTGACCTCCATGTGCATATAGGGGTGTGTGTGTTTGTGTGCACGTGCAAGCATGTATACACAGACCTGAGAATTCATAAATGTGGGAGTTCTATAAATGGTAACAACATTTGCATCTTTATTTCCAAAACAGTGCTTTGTACAAAATTAGAGTTAATTAATATTTATGGGAAAGAAGGCTGTGCAATGGACTGAGGGAAAAGAGGAAAAGTTAAAAAGAAAAAAAAGATTGGGTTTCTCACTGAAATAAATCCTGACAGATGTTTTCCTCTTTTTCCTTAGTAAATTTCCTAATCATCATATATAGTTATTGCAGTTTTTTATTTCCGTGGACTAGCAATTCCACTGTCTATTAGGCAGTACCTACCACACACCCTGCAGGTCATAGGCCCTCTAGTCACTATTATAGCTCTGTTGTCTGCAGCAGCGGTAATGTCCTCCTTGCCTCTTCTAGCTATATGTCACCATCTGGTCTGTGTAAAGCCCTGTCAGCTCTGCCAACACCTAGAAGCCCAGGCCCATGGCAGCATCCTCTGGCCTACAGAGAACAGTCAGGATGGAACTTTTCTGTGGTAGAACTTTTCTTGGATAAAGAGAGTATCTTCTGAACCTCTCAGATGAACACAGACAGCTGGTGGGTCCTCTGGTCCTGTGAAATACCCCCATCTCATGCTTGTCTTTGACTCCTTGGTACTCTGCCAGCATAGTTAAAGTCTCTCCTCTTCACTGATAGAAGGCACAATTTCCCCCAAGCTGGCAGGAGCCATCCCAACAGCACAGCGGGACAAACTCCTAATGTTCTTATGCTTATACATCCTGAATCTCCTCCATGTGGCTACATTCTCCTCAGTCTCTTCCCACCCCACACCCATTGCCACGTACTTCTACCCATCCCTCTGGTTTGCATTATCCACTAGCTCCTTCAGCAGAGACCTTCATTCCTCCCTGCCGGAAAGCAAGTCTTCCCCCTAATTATCATCTGGAATAGACCAGTTTGTAGGGAGTGGGCTTGCAGATCATTGGACAATGTACTTGCCTATTTGGCACAAGGCCCTGAGTTCAATATCCAGCACCATAAAAAAAAAAAATGGGTGTGATGGCACACACCTAAAACTCCAGTAATTAGGAGGCAGAAGCAGGAGTATTAAACCATAGGAATCACGGACACTAGTTGAGGAGTTATAATAAAACAACGTCCATCTTAGGTCCTCCATGTGGCTTTCCAGCTAGGGGAGTCTGTCTCCTCTGGCAAGGAGGAGCTAGTGGGTCCCTCTGCAAGGGACCAGCAAGTGCATCCGCCTGCTTGTTCCCATTCCAGGCCTCTGTGTCTCTTTCCTTCCTATTAGGACCATGAGGAAGAACAGAAGAACCATGGTGGCAGAGTCAGCCTTTTAAATGATTGGACTGCTCTCCAGGTTAGATCACGGGTCTGGTTTTCACCTCTTCAAATGCAGCTTCCACACCATGCCCAAAGGCCTTTGATTCTACTTAATACTGAACTAATGCCAGAGTCCTTGTAACTACCCTTATCCTGCCTTCATGTCTCTCACACATTATATATACGATATTAGTGGACACGAACCTGTATGTATCCCACAGCAGTTCCCATCAGAGAAATGTGAGTCATTGGGATACTACAGCCTACATATTGTCCTGACAACCACCACTACTACCTGCTACACTTTTTAGTTGAAACGCCCTAAACAGAGTCGTGGTATTTTGAATGTGATTGATGCCCATAATCTCACAGGGAGCAGCATTATTAGGAGGTGTGGCTTTGTTGGAGTGGGTATGGCCTTGTTGGAGGAAGCGTGTCACTGTGGGGGTGGGCTCTCAGGTTTCCTATGCTCAGGATACCACCGGGTGTCTCAGTTGACTTCCTGTTGCCTGCAAGCCAAGATGTATCCAGCACCACATCTGCCTGCACACTAACATGATCCCTGCCATGATGATAATAGACTGAACCTCTAAAATATAAGCCAGCCACCACAATTAAATGTTTTCTTTATAAGAGTTGCCATGGTCATGGTGTCTCTTCTCAGCAATAAAAACCCTAACTAAGACAGAAGTCATGTGGCCTATCCCATTACCCTTAAATTCATTTCAAACCTGCTTCCTAGAAGACCAGACTTGATGGATGACCACATCAATGGGCCCCCTCAGTCTCTGCCTTCCAGTATGATTCCCATTTGATTCAAGGGTATGGAAAGCAAGTAGGTTGGGATATCCCCCACCTCTTCCCATGCCTCAGCTTGGCAAACAGCTGCAGCATCCCACTAAGGACCACAGCTCCTGCCAGGCACTGGCTCCTCTCCTGTGTTTGCCTTGGTATTTGATAATCACACCCTTCCCCATCACAGCACCCTAAGGTTGCCCACTACCTCCAAACCACAAGTGTGTCAGCCCTCCTCGCTGGTTTCTTTAACTCTGGTCAAATGTCAGTTATTTCCTGCCAGAGTTGTTACTAATGCTGTGCCCATCTTTCTTGAATCTCTGGCAAGAGGACTGGCCCAGAAAACCCAGAGGAAGGCTCCTAAAAATGGAAGGAGGAAGAATGGAAGGAAGCCCTGGGCTGTCTATAAGCGGCATGGTCTCTCCCCTGCAGATACCACAGCTGCTCAACAGCTTTCTGTGTGGTGACTTCCTCCTACCAACACATCTGCAGTTACAGGTTGGGGTGGCTTTCGCTCAAGTCCTTTGTCCCTAGACAGTCACCCCAGCATCCTAGGCCTTGCCCACCAGTCTCAACCTTTGCTCTGTAGATTTTCATGGACTCAGTAATTCCTCCTTCAAGGAGCACTCGGGGATCCCAGCTTGGACCCAACAGGGGCTGCAGATACAGGACCCCTGGGACGCATGCTACCACACAAGTCATCTGTGTCCCTTAGCAAACATGAAACCCCAAATGAATGCTTCAGTCAAAAGAACTTCAAATTTCCAAGTGCCTTTATTGTTACACCAAGTAAAATAAAAACTAGAAAGACTTTTCTAAAAGTTTGCATGAATTCAGGTGACAGGGAGCATACTTTGTTGACATCTGTATAGACACTCCTGGCGTATTCCAAAAAAGAACAGTTAAACTCAAACCCCCCAATGCCAAAGCTAAAAACATTTGCATAAAATTAGAGTTTAAAAAGGTCACAGAATCAGCTGTTGTAAGATTTTAGAAAAAGCAAGAGCCCATGACCGCAGCCTCTCTCTGAGCCAGCACGGCAGCCTCGCCGCCACAAACACTCAGGATTCTGAGTCTAAGAAATCGCCATTTAGGTTTGAAATATACTAAACAGGCAGGGACATTTGTGACTGGTCACTTCCCTGTGGCCGTGGGAGAACATTCAAACCATGAATTTAGTCTCTGGTGTTTTTAAACCTAAATGATATTCTAATTACGTTTTGTGAGTTTTATTTTGTTTGTTTGTTTTTTTAATTGGCAAGTGGACACTTCCATAAGGATCTTAAGGGAATGGAGGGACTTCTGCTTGGGAGAGAAATACCCACATCTAAACAGCTTTTTTGTAGCAGTCGGGACTGTCTTTGTCTCTTATCTAGGTAATTGCTCAGTTGAAAGGGAAATAGAGCGTTCTCTCGGAGAACACTCAAAGTTGGGTTTCCTTTTGAGCAAGGAAGAAAGTGCATTGGTGTTGATCACACTTTGCCTTTTAATCATAAATCCAGTTGGAGTTCAATGGCAGAATGTGGGGACTTAAAGGCTTTCTGGAGCTTAATGATATCCAATTCCTTTAAATAAATGCTACAATGTCAATCAAAACTGAGGGTGGGTTGTAATATACAAATCACGTTCCCAAAGTCAAGCAAAGAAAATCTAATTTACAGACATATAAACCGGAGACATTATCCTGGGGAAGGGTCAATAGTGTTTGACATTTTTAGCGTGAGTGTGCTGCACCTGTACCTCGTGCCTAACTGAGCAGAGGAAAGCCTGAGCCAGGCTGGCCCAAATTCAACCGTACTTGACTGCAGGGGATAGAGCAGATACATTGGGGGGGGGGGGGGGGGGGAGCAGATCTGTGAGGCTCGGGCCACCAGCTGCGTTCTGAAGACTATGCTGGCTTCAGATGGTCTCACACTCGGTGGTGTCAGTGGAACACGCCCCGCAATCACACCGGACAGCCACCGGGTAGGTGTAGAAGGGATCGACTCCTGGAGCACAATTAGGCAGCTTGACAGTCACCTGCTTGGTCTCGTTGTAGGTACAGACTCGGTGATGGGCTTCGATGTAGGGAGGCTCCAGGATGGGTTTCTGTGCCCGCAGGTAGAAAACAGGAAACCCATTAGAATGCAGCATCCCGATTCCTGTTCTCGGTGCCGTCCATCACTAGTTATTCACTTATCCTCTGACTCCTCCCACCACGAATCAACCCCACCCCCCACCCCCCAGCAGGAAGACAGTTTGCTCACTACCATATCCTGAGCCTCCTGCAAAAGTCCGTGAAACACAGGAAGCACTTAGTAAATATTTAGCCAGCAAATAACTGGTCCCCCTTCTCCCACTCTTTTCCCCCACAGTCTGTTTACAACAGGGAGTGAGCCTTTTAAAATGTAAGTCAGCCATGGCCCACCTCTGCTCAAAGCCCCCAAAATTTCCCCGTCTCGCTCAGGTTTTTAAACGTCAAGGACACTCGGATTCTTCTCAAGTCCTTGCGTTTTCTGCCTTTATTTTACTGTTGATGTGGGCTATAGTCCTGACCTTGCCCATCCCCTCTCCAGTCTCCAGTCACAGCCCTCTGAATCCTCCTTCAGATCAGCCAGGAACTGAGGATCTTTGCATCTGCGGTCCCTCTACCCAGACTTATGCCAATAAATAAATAAAGTGTTGTTAATCTGAAATTCAAGTTATCCGAGTTCCCTGATTATTTTTTTAAATTTGACTTCTCTTTGCATTGTGGGGTTTGAGGTGGAAGGGGGTTGGTGGGGTTTTTGGTTGGTTGGTTGGTTGGTTGGTTTGCTGGGGGAGCAGTTGGTTTGGCTTTGATTTTGCTAAACCTGGCATCTGGAAGCCCAGGGTCACGAGAAGTCATTATTTCAGCAAGAGGTCAGTGCAGCCCATCATTATAAACACACTCCTCAGTTCAGCCAGCTTTGAGATGTGTATACCCATTTTCAGGGAAGGGCCAGATGTAACTGAGTCTAAATGGACTGGATGGATCTATCACTGAACTGAGGGGAAAGGGCTATGACAGAACCTGGGACTAGACCTATAGCTTCCGGGTTCTTTTGGGTAACTGTCTGACTTCCTCACAGCTGAGAAAATACAGGAAGGAGATGTGGTCACAGGTTTGGACCAATAATTTATTTTCGACTTTGCACTGACTCCCTCTTGACTCCTGCCTTGTGATCTTTACAGTGGGTAAACAGTAGCACCTGACCTCCTAGAGATGGCTCCCAAAAATGCAGAAGCGTGGAAATTACATTACCAACCTCACTAGCGCTGTGGAAAAGAGCACCATCGTGGTTTTCGGATCATTTGGAAGAACCAACAATAGTGCAGTTGGGTTTTTTAAGTCCAGAGGACAGGGCAGACATGCCAGCTCCCCCTCAGTCATGAAACAGTGAACACTTACACTCAAGAAGCTGGCCCTGAAGCCACTGCCATCCAAGCCTGTTGGACTGCTTACCTCCCAGGTCTCGCAGCGGCCCCAGCAGGCATCAGTGGTGATCCGAAGTCCTCTGCAGCCTGGCTTCTTGGCCAGGAAAGTGAACTCCCTCACAGCACAGCCCACGAAAGTGTGCAGGTTCCCACTGGAGGTGCTGAGGACAGAGTCACAGCCCCCCAGAAGAAGGGGGGTCATGGCACCAAGGACAAGGTATGCCAGCTTCATGCTGTTCCCAAGGAGGGAAAGGAAACAAAACTGAACATACCCAACTGCTCACCATGGTGCAGCCCAAAGAGACTTTGCTTTTAGCATTACAGGGAAAAAAAATGAGCCAAGGGACTGTCGACTCCAACAGCATCTCTCTAACTAGTTCCAGTAGATAGTCAGTAGCTCTTTCTAGACACCCTACCCTCAAAACATGATCTCAGGCTTTTCCTTGGTGAACTCCAACTTCTGGAACCTACTTGTATGTAAAAGAAATTTATCCCAATGAAAAGTAAGAGCAACACCCAAAGAAATGTAGAGCCTAAAATAATACATGAATATGCATACTTTCTTTTTATCCAGGTTTGGGGTGTGTAAGTGTCATGTTAGAAGCTTTGCACACATTTGTATTTTTAGTGCCACGGATGGGGAATAAATGGGGGAGGTAGATAAGTAGTAATAATGGCATACCCTGGCTTGTTATTACTAACCAAACCTATCATACAGAAAATCTTATAAACCCTGGTGCCTGGCATGGCAGTCACTTATAAAATGTATTCTACTTATCACAGATCACATCTGTTCCATGCTTCTGCTGTGCAAAGGCCCTAGTGGAACTCAGTTTAAAAGCAAGTGATGGAAAGCCAGTCACAGTCTACCATGGAGCCTGTCCTCTCTGGTTCTCGGTCCTTTCTGGTGCTCTAGCAGCACAGAATGGGCCCTTCATGGCTGGCCCACCGAACAGAACCCACCTGGGCGTCACATTTGTGGAATGCTACCAGGTCAGTACCACTCAGGAGTAGTTACATTTCCAAAGCTGCTCTCATGGTTCTTGCTGGTGTGTGGTCATACAGCCTCTGGGGGCTTCCCCTGAGGAGGAAGGAAGGAAGAGACGGAGAGGTACTTACCTGAGCTTGCTGGGGTCAACTCTTCCTTCAAAAGTTGCAATGAGTGGGCAAAGTTTGCTCTGGGGAAGTGTCTGCCACCCTTCTGGTATCAGGCTGCCTGACTACTCAAATATATAGGGAGGGTCTTGTCAATCAAAGCAAGAGCGAGGCAGATTCTTACAGGAACGACTAAGCACATCAAAGCCAGGGAATATAAAGCCAGTCTCTATTTTCCAAAACTGATTCACTTTAAGGGTGGTGTTTTGTTTCTTGACATCACTGAATGAAACAGAAAGTTGCCTTGGTGGGTGACATAAGCCTGAGGAGAGAGTCAGGGGTGGTTCACCTGGTTCTCAGAGAACACGTGTACTGGGACAAGATGGATCAGAGTCTCCTTCGTGGTAACAATGGCCTGCTTTAGAGACAGTAAGCTGCTAGCAACTTCTGGCAAGTCCTTTCTTTATGCTTACAATGTTGAAAAAACAGCAAGACAATAATTCTGACTTGGAAACAACATGGCATCACCTACTGACAGATGGAAAGGAAATTTGAAAGTCTTAAAGATCATTTAACCAGTAATCTTTAAATGAATCACACAGGTAAAATACAGAGATACTGGAAATGACTGGCTTCATACACGGGAATTAAAGAAGACTTTTCCTTCTTTCTACATGCTTTCTGGGATTTTTTTTTAACATGGGTCAGGTTTTAGCTTTTAAAAAGTCATCTAGTCTGATTATTTTAAAATGAAAATAAAAAGTTATCTATGTGTACTGCATAGAAGGACATTCAATGGTGTTAGGTGAAACCGTATTAGATTTCTGATCCTGTGCTACAGCAGCACAGTCCTTCTTATGAGTAGGGAACGTGGTTTATATTTCATTCCACAATGGTAGCATGTAGACAGATGAGGAAGCTACTTGTTCGTGGCCCTTTCCTGGGTGTTCTAAAAAGTAAATGAAGCAGACATCTGTACCCTCAGGAGTTTACATTTCATGACAAATCACGACATACCCAGAGGCATTCAAGATGCATATTAAATGGCCGGCGACACAAAATAAAGCATCCCCATTTTCTGCACAGAAAGATTTTTTTTTAAAACAAATACAGCCTTTGTTAAAGGTTTGCTCTTACGGAGCAAACACATAACAACAATCAGCGAACCCATCAATGAATCATCAATCCCTGAAATCAGGTTATTTTATAGATGGTGCAACTTGGCTTGGACAGAGGACCTTCTTCAGCCCTCCAGCCTGCTCACAGAAGAGCCAGAACCAGGACACTGTGGGAACAGACTGCTCACCTGGCCTTGCTCTTCTTAAGTTGCTGGGCCAAGAGCTAGACAGCAAGTAGGAACTGATGTCCTGAGCAGTGTTTCTGTGCAGGGCTGCTCATGCCTTTTAGAATTGGCATAGGCATACTGGCCCGTGATCTCACAAGAAAGGCAACAAAGTGAGGCCAAGAGTCCCCTTCTTCCACAGTCCCTGACTGCCTGGTAATGCAGTGTGCTCTGACATGTCCCTACAGGGTAGCTGGGACCTGCTGGCAGAAATGCCTGCCTGGGATACTGTACTAAGGTAACTACAAGCAGTCCAGGTAGAGGGGGCAGGAAAGAGGGATGGTGGTTGGTTTTCATCTTTTGCCATCCTGACGCTCTACTGTGCTACAAGTCTCTGCACAGACAGAGTCAAAGGTCGGGAATGTGACTGCCAAGGCAACATTGAGTGCTGGAGCTTCTGGAATACCTGTGCATCTACCACCTTCCCTTCCGCCTACGCTGAGGTTCCCACCACTGAAGTCACTCTCATGAGGCAGCACCCAGAGATGGAGGCCATGTCTTGGAGCACAGGCCCCCAGCATCTGCCCTAACTTGGTTCCATTTTCATCTTAGCATAGATTCACTGTCACCTCGGAGACTGACTTACAATGTTCAGGTTCTTTGGAGGCTACGAAATAGAAGACGAGGGGGGCTATGATTTGGATATTTTTAAACGTGTGTCCCCAAGGGTTCATATGTTGAAATTTTATCCTCATGGTAGAACCTTAATCCAACTATGGTGGTTAGACCTGGGGCCTTTGGAAGCATCCAGAACAGTCCTAAGCAACATGAGAAATATTGAAGGTATTACAAAGGTGATTTCAAAATATCCTACAGTCTTAGTTTTTTTAAAAAAAAATCAGCCTAGTGTAGGCATAAAAGCAAACACATGGACCAATGGAATAGAGGATATAGAAATAAACCCATCTTCAGCCAGCTGTCAATCACGATGCCAAAAAAATGAGGTGGCGAAAAGACAGCCCACTAACAAACACTGGTGGGCAAGTTTGGTCCCCATACGTGGAACACAGAGACTAGATCCCTATTTCATCCTGCACAAAAACCAATTCAAAATGGATTAAAGTGATCATGGAAGGCTAGAAAATTTCAAACTACAAAAACCAGGAGACACACATCAAGACGTTGGCATGAATGATTGTCTAAGAGGACTCACATAGCTCAAGAAAGAAAAGCAAGAACCGTAAAAGGAACGGCAAAATTTCAAAAACTTTTTTTTCCACAGCAAAGAAAATGATTGGTAGAATGAATGGGCAGCCTACAGAATGGGAGAAAAATCTTAGTCAGCATCTACCTGACAGAGGACTAGTATCCAGAATGTATAAAGAACTCAAAAAATAGCAACAACAACAACAAAAAAAGCCAAATAATCTAATTAATAAATGGGTGAATGATCTGAACAGACACTTCACAGAAGAAGTACAGATGACCAATAAATTCATGAAAACAGCCCTCAATATCTTTAGCCACTGGATAAAAACAAATCAAAACTACGCTGAAATTCTCTTACCACAGTCAGCATAGCCAGCACCAGGAAAACAAAAACAATAAATGTTAATTAATATTTGAAGAAAAAAGTGTTGAAAATATAAATTAGTTCAGCCACTATAGAGATCAGTATGAAGATTCCTTAAAAAGGTAAAGAACAGAACTACCATATGACCCAACCACCCCACTCTTGGGTATATACCCAAAGGAATCAGTCATCATACAACAGAGATACCTGCATACTCATGCTTATTATGCCACTATTTACAACAGTCAAGATATAAAAGCAGCCCATATGCAGGTCAAATGATGAATGCATAAAGAAACTGTAGCATATCTCGTAGTATCAGAAGGTACAATTCAAACATCAGAGGAAGAAAAATCAGTAGTCCTACCCAGATGTAGAGCCTATGAACCAAAACAATGATCAGCCCCGCAAGATATCCCTAATGGTTCAAAAAAGGCACTTTTATCTTTGGAGATAACCAACAGCTGTCTTATTAGACTTATGGCCTTCTTAGCTAGGGATTCTATTGCTGTGAAGAAACACCATGACCACAGCAATTCTTCTAAAGGAAAACATTTCACTGGAATGGCTTATAGTTCAGAGGTTTAGTCCATTATCATCATGGCAGGTAGCAATGGCAGCATGCAGGCAGACATGGTGCTGGAGACGGAGCTGAGAGTTCTACATCTTGATCTGCAGATGGCAGAAACAACTGTGTGTCACACTGAGTGTAGCTTGAGCAAAGGGGACCTCAAAGCCCACCCTCATGATAACACACTTCCTCCAACAAAGCCACACCTACTCCAACAAAACCACACCTCCTAACAGTGCCACTCTCCATGGGGGCCATTTTCTTTCAAACTACCACAGGGGGAAATTCATACCTGGGACTGTAAACCTAGCCAACTACCCATGGCTGGGGAGATCATGAACCCCTGAGGGGAACCTGCTAGGACCGTTTCTTAAACCAACATAATTTCTAACTGTATTCTAAATACGTATCCTTATACCCATAGATAAGTGTAGCTCTCATCAAAAAAGCTTCTACAGAGATCCACGACTAGACAAAATTCAGGGAGTAAGTGACTGCAGGGTGCCCCATCCCAGCTGGTACAACTACAATATAACCCCTGAACCTAAGACTCGGGGAAAATTGTAGAGGAGGGGCAGAAAGATTGTAAATGCCAGAGGACCAGAATGCCTGCTGCGAGATAATCTCTTCTAAACATGACAGGGAAGCCCTATCCATGATATCTCAACAACGTGGCTGTCTAAACAAGATCTGCATAATGACAACACCAGGTGACATGGCAGCACAAATTGGGGACATCTCACAAAGCCTCACCCCTAGATGAAGAGCTACAGAAAACCAATGGCTGATGAGAGAGAGAGAGAGAGAGAGAGAGAGAGAGAGAGGGAAAAAATCAGTTTTCTCCAGGGATGAGCTCCCTGATAGGTTATCTAGTCCCAGGTGGTTAGCCCTAAACACATGAGCATCAGCATAACATTAAATATTTATATGTTATGTACACATATGTGTGTGTGAGTGTAACTATAAATAAAGAGGAAGAGACCCTAAGTTTGAGGGAGGGGAACATGAGAGGACTTGGAGGGGCAAAGGGAGGGGTGAAAATGTTGTAAATACAGTACTCAAGTATGAAATGCTCTCAAGTATTTTAATTAAATTTTTAAAAGGGTGGTCATCCGGTATGCTGGAGTTCTCAGCATGCCTTCGCATGTGTTGCCCTGTTTTTGAGCAGTGTTTTGGTGGAATTTTGTAGCATGGTGATCTCACATCTCACAAGATGCCACGGCGTCTTGGCTTCTCACAGAGCGCTCTTGGGTCTCCCCAGCCTTTACCGCCATGGCAGCTGCACCTGCGAGGTGCAGATCAATGCCTGGTTCTTCCTGTGCAAAACGAAGAGGAAGTCACAGAAAAGAAAAAAACGAAGGTTATGGGCAAGCACCTCAGGGAACACAAACAGCCAGGAATGTAGCCCAGATGCCTCACCTCCTTAGTAACCAGGGAAATGCCAATCAACCGAACACTGGGAACCGTGTGGCTATCTCCTCAAGCAGACTTTGACCTCTGGGATGATGGACGCTTTTGCCTTTATCTCTTCGTTGGCTATTTCCAGAACCAGATGATGGTGGCTTCAGATCCATCTCTCGCAAGACCCCAGAACTCCAAGTGCTCCACATGGTTTGGGAGAAAATACCTGAGAGTGGCTGGAGCATTAAGCCAACACCTTCAAAACATAAAGAGAGGGTCAGGGGCGAAGAGCCTTCACTAGTCAGTCCAACTTGTTCTCGAGACAACTGTGTACTCAAGACAGGTACCCGGCCTCCGACACAACTGCCTTCTTTGTGTGTATGTTTGCTTGTTTATTTTTTATTTACTTATAACATCTATGAAGGCAAGGGCCTCATCGGGGTTATTCACTAAATTCATTGTATTACCTAGTTTATAGAAGGAACCAGGTATTCCGTGTTGAAAAAGCAAACGAGCAGGTGGGCTGGAGACTTGGCTCAGTGGTTAAGAGCACTGGCTACTCTTGCAGCAGACCTAGATTTGGTTTCCAGCACCCACATGGTGGCTCACTACCACCCGTAACTCCAGTTCCAGATGATCCAGTGCCCTCTTCTCGATCCTTGGGCACCAGGTATGAGCATGGTACACAAGAATACACATACAGGCAAAACACCCTTACACATAAGATAAAAATAAATACAGATTTTTTTTTAATGCCTCCAACCCCTCGTGGGACCTGAGTCATGTCATCTGTGAGATGATGGATTTAGTCTTTAATGACTTTCTTGTCTTTATAAATGGTTTGATACTGAGAAAAGAAGAAGAGGAAGAGGAGGAGCAGGGGCTTTAGGGAAGGGATTAGATAAGGTCCCGAGGGTGGAGACCCCAAGCTTGAATCCTACTGATTTCATAGGAAGAGGGAAAAACCAGAAGGCATACATACACTGCATGGGCACCACCTGTCTCCAGCCCTGAGATGCTCTGTCATCTCAGGACTCCTTACTGAGAAGGCCATCACCAGATGCCGCCCCTTAATTTTGTGTTTCCAGAACTGTAAATCATAATACCCTCTTTCTTTATAACCTCACCTATCCGTGGACCCAACACCCCCTTCTTACTTCTTCTGGCACCAGGCAAACACGTGGTGAATACAGACAGACAGACAAACAGTCATACACGTAAAAAAATAGAATAATTAAACATTATTTTAAAGATTCAATCGAATTATGTCTCTACATGGTTTTTCACTGTGCTTGCTACTCGATGTGTAGGCAGTGAACGTCACTTCTCTCTCCTTCCGGGGAAATGCATCATGTACCACCGAGAAATTAAAACGCTGGGCCATGCCAAGAAATATTAGGCATATCCTGATTTCAAAGACATCAAATGTCACACAGGGGTGGGTGCAAAGGAGTCTAAGGCTAGAAGAGGCAAATCTTGGGCGGGGGGCGGGGGTTGTGAGGTCTCAGCGGCACTCAGAACCAGAATCCTACAGGAGTAGGGGAGCTCGGCTCCCTTCCCCCAGTCAACCCGTGGTGCTTTGATCCAACACTGGAATTATTACGCTTTTTCAGCCCAAGAAGAAGGTAAGATTGAAGGGTCTGATTAACCCTTAAGGTCCAGGTGACCATACCTAAAAAAAATCAGCCTATTGTAAGTCTATGTAAATAGTCAAGTTGGCTAGGACAGGCAGCATGTTCTGAGCATTCATCCTGCTCCACAGGGACTAAGCGGCCTCCTCTGTCCCTTAAAAAGACATCCTAAGAGGTCAAAAGCATCCACGCTCCAATGTGGCTCCCCTGCTGTCCTCTCAGAATACACATACTCTGCCCAAGGGTCAAATTAATTACTGCTGTGCCTCCTATGGGTGATTTAAAAGCCACAAATAAAATTACATGTTTTAAGGAACTAATAGAATCAATCACTTTCTTACAAATAGATATAACCCAGGTCAGCCTTGGCCCTTACAAAGTTGTATATTGCTTTTCCTATCTCTTATTTGTGAGGAAGGAAACTTCTGGGCTCACAAATGAAGATGAATAGTGAAGACTTTTAGAAGAAATTAATTTTATTGGAAAGTCATTTCTTCTTCTGACAACACTAGATATTTGTGGGACAGCTCTTAGTGTTATTGACTCAAAGAGATAACATTTGTCCTAGATGATGATGTCGTTGCTATGGTAACTTCTTTTAACAAGACTAAAAATAATGAAGCCTGTGTCTGATTTTACTAGGACAAGTCAGGCCTTTCTCCAGACCCATCTGAAAGAAGTATCTGTCGACTGCCACAGATTTATTTTGAATTAAGGGGCACGTCATTTAAGGGCTGAAGTGAATTGTTTTTATTTCCGCCTGACTCCACCACTTCTGGATGTTGTGGCTCTGCAGGGCATGGCAGGCACATGTCTAACCAAGAGGAACAGAGAGGAGTTTAATGAGTCACAAAGAGGCATTCTTTATTGCAAGTGCGTCCTGTATTCTCCTTGGCATGAGTCCTCAAGGCTTCTGGGTCCCTGAGCCCTTCTTCTGTAATCCCACAAGAAGTCTCACAGACAATGGCAAGACTGTTGTTAGCTACGCTTTGAATAGAAATAGAACTCTGTTTGGTAGATATTGGCTGTATTCAAAAAAGATTCCTGGTCTTGGCTCCATAGTCTTCACGAGTGTGCCTATCTGTTGAGAAGGGAACAGGAGAGCCAGGCACCTTCTCCATTCCTCAACTCACAGACATGAATCAAGAGCCTACTATGTGCCAGGCACTTTCTCTTTCCTTCCATGTTTAACTGAGAATCTCCCTGAGTGTTACAGTTACAATGAGTACATGTGGTGTAGTTATGAATCAATCTGGGAACCTGGTGATGTGCAGCTGTTCCTTGGAATTGAAACATCCCCTGCTGGAGGGAGCAGGGAAGCCATCAGGCTCATGAAACTCACCAGAAACTTCACAGATTCAGGAACCCCATGAAGCATCCAAGACTCTCAAGGCCCCTTCTCGGGCTGGATAAGCATGGGAAATGCAAGAAATGCACAGTACTACATGGAATGGTTGAATTACAGTTATTAAGCAATCTCATAGACAAGAATTTTATTTAAATAAAGTCTTCAAATAAAACACATAGAGCATAAATCATTTACCCTTATAGATTCCCATATTAAAAAAAAATCCAGGAACTGGAATTGCCATGTGGAATTAGAATGCAACTGGATAGACTATCAAAGTAATATCTTAATATTGCACCCATCAACACACTTGCCCTCATGTGGAAGAGCATTTGTTACTCCAGATTCATCCCATTTATTTATCAGTGGTATTTGAAGTTTTCATGAATGAGTTCTAGTATCTTACTAAACTGAAGATCCAATTACATTGCTGTGGAATGTCACTCTGTATGCTGTGAATGTGTGTTGTTCTGATTGGTTGATAAATAAAATGCTGATTGGCCAGTAGCCAGGCAGGAAGTATAGGTGGGATAAGCAGACAAGGAGAATTCTGGGAAGAGGAAGAGTGAGTCAGGAGTCGCCAGCTAGACATAGAGGAAGCAAGATGACAAGGTAGAACTGAGAAAAGGTACCAAGCCATGTGGCTAAACATAGATAAGAATTATGGGTTAATTTAAGTGTAAGAGCTAGTCAGTAATAAGCCTGAGCTAATGGTTGAGGAGTTATAATTAATGAAAGCCTCTGTGTGCTTACTTGGGGGATGCAAGTGGAAGAGATCTGTCCCAACCACCAGCCAGCTGGGACACAGGAAAACTTCTGACTACATTATATTTCTCTTTTCTTTTCTTCTTTTCTTTTTTTTTTTTTTTTTTTTTTTTTTTTTTTTTTTTTTTTTTTTTTTTTTTTTTTGCATGGCTTACAATCCTTTTCTCAGTTTTCAGTTGCAGTTTTGACCTTTTTCATATTAATTTCTTAGGAGATTTTTATATTAAGAATCTAGTCATCTAGCCGGGCGTGGTGGCACACGCCTTTAATCCCAGCACTCGGGAGGCAGAGCCAGGCGGATCTCTGTGAGTTTGAGGCCAGCCTGGTCTACAAAGCGAGTTCCAGAAAAGGCACAAAGCTACACAGAGAAACCCTGTCTTGGAAAAAAAAAAAAAAAAGAATCTAGTCATCTAGATGCCAATATATAATCTGACCCTCTCTGGCCTCTGTGGACATCTCCACCTGATTTATATGTGTGCATACACACACATAGACACATGCAATACATGAGTTATATGTGTGCATACATACACACAGACACAATACACACAAATAAAAATAAAAAAGACAAAAAACAGGACACCGTGGGGTAGCAGGGGAGAGGGAGCTATTCACTGCAGGCCAAGGAGACTCCACGTACATGAGGGTCTCTTTCCTTTCCACTGCCGTTTCCTCAGGGATTGCAACACTGCCTAGGTGACAATTATTTAATTACTGAAACCATCTGTTGAAGGAATCACTAAAGACACAGCAGAGAACATGGTGAGTTTCAACTGTCTCCCAGCTCAGAACAATGCATACTAAGGAAGAATCCTGAGGATGAGAGCAACAGGCAGGGTGTGGTCTGGGCGCTCCTGTGGGGTACAGTGACTGGAAGGGCTGGAGCAAACTGACCATCGGGAGGAGGTGGCTTCACCTCTGGCTTCAGCTGAGAGATGCCATTCAGGATACACCCCATTAGGCTGAGACACGGACAGAGACAGAATTCAAGTGCATGGGCACGATGAGGTTTCTAGCGGCCACACTGCAGAGGCGAAGTGAAAAGGAGAAATTAATTTCAATAACTGACCCAGGTACTGAAGTGCCAGAAATAAAACGGAATCTATCTAACCCAACATGCTCATGTTTCTAAATTTTGGGGGGCCAGGGTGGGGGGTGGGATTGGTTTTTGGTTTTTCAAGACAGGATTTCTCTGTGTAGCCTTGGCTGTCCTGGAACTCACTTTGTAGAGCAGACTGGCCTCGAACTCACAGATATCCACCTGCCTCTGCCTCCTGAGTACCAGGATTTAAGGTGTGTGCCACCACCACTCAGCTCAATATGTAATTTTTGACAAGTATTTGTGGGTTGGTTTTTTTCATGCTATGTGTCTGGCACCCTATAGGTCATAGAACATCACATTCAAGCTCACCATAGCACAAGGGCTCAGAGCTACCTGAGGGGCAACCATGGTGACAGTGTCTGGTCTGGAGTGTTTAATAATTAAACCCTCTTCCTGTGACTTATCTACTCATTTTCCAACAGCCTTTGAAGTTTTAATAGGAAATTTTACAAGAAAACCAAGGCCCAGAGCTGTTTAGGGAATTAGCCACAGCCTTCCCGCCACACAGGCAGAGAACTAGGATTCAAATTCGGCCGATTTTCACCATCATGGATAGCTTTAGGCACTTGTCCAGTGAGAAACCACGGCCTGCAGTGAGGGTGATGCCGGCTCCACCTTAAAGAAATAACCAAAGCACAGGGCCTTGGACAGAGATACTTCTTATAGCTGGCTGAGGCCAACGCACATGCTCATAACTGACCTAAAGACCAAGAATACGTGATGGTGGATTGGTCAAACCTACACAGGACACTTGTGCCACCTCCTCCAAGGTGCAGGGAGCATCAGAGAAGGGATGTAAGAGCCAGAGCATCAGGGGGTATGCAAACAAAAGATGTCCTCCGACCACGGATGGCACTTATAAACTCACTGGGGCTGTGGTGACCTGCATCAGACTAGACCTGCTGAGAGTCCATCATGGATGGGGAGGGCATGAGGGAGTCCCTCCCATTTGTAGAGCAGACTGGCATCGAACTCACAGATATCCACCTGCCTCTGCCTCCTGAGTACCAGGACTTAAGGTGTGATGGGAGAGGGTACCGTTTTCTTTAGGGCTGTAACTGCTGACAAGTTGTCCATGCTCCAGGAAGTTACACCCCACTCATGTTTATGTGAGCATCCTTAATTCAGCTCAATGGGTAACACCAAAAAGAGGGTTTAAAAGCAGGAAGGAAGGTGGGTAGCAGTGGCGCATGCCTTTAATCCCAGCACTCGGGAGGCAGAGCCAGGCGAATCTCTGTGAGTTCGAGGCCCAACCTGGTCTACAGAGCAAGATCCAGGACAGGCACCAAAACTACACAGAGAAACCCTGTCTCAAAAAACCAAAAAAAAAAAAAAAAAAAAAGGAAGGAAGGAAGGAGGCTTATTGAGAAAAGGGGTGTGTCAGCAGGAGGGGTGGGGGTAATGGGGGTGAAAACAACTGAAATTCACTGCATGCAGGAAACTGTCAAAGAACTTTATTTAATTAAAAAAATTTTAAATGTCAAAGAACTTTATTTAATTTAAAAAAAATTTTAAAGACAAATAGCCGAGTCCTTGTCAGTTGAGCCTAGACCACTGGCACACACAAAAAAAAATCTCTAAATATAAGGTAGCAAGGAGCCTATGGGAAAGATTTTTTGTTTTTTTTAAAGAATTTACCAAAATGCTTATTTATCCAGAACCATGATTTCTGATCTGCTGAGACTAAACGATTTATCTGAGAGGCTCGGGCTCTGGAATGTGCCTTTGTGGCTGACTGAATCGCTGCTGAAGAGGTGTGTCAAACCGAATCAGAGAGAGAAATGCCTCCCAAGTCGAGATAGCCCTGACATTCCGTGAACGATGAAGCCAGAATAATAATCAACTCCAGAGAAGAGAAACTAATAAAAATCAAAAACACTGGGGGAGTCTCATCATGAAGCATCCAAGCGAAAAAACTCAGCACCCCAGGCCAGACAGGCGGAGGCTGATGGGTAGGAAAACACAGTGAAAGGTCATGAAGCCATGACAGCTGGGAGTGATTCACCAGCAGGATTTTTAAGACTAAGACCTTCTCTGTCTGTGCCTATGGCTTCCCGATTCTGGAATCAGTGATTATCCCACCCCACCCCACCCCCACTGATCCAAGCCCCATAACACTGGCCAGAGACTAGAGGTGTAAACTCAAGAATAGAGGAGAGCAACGGTCTTTAATCCAAGATCATGAGGCAGAATAGAGAAGAGCAGAGGTTCAACACACACCACACACACCGCACACACAGCACACACCACACACACAGCACACACAGCACACACAGCGCGCACACACACAGCCTGAAGAGTGAACATTCACCTGTAAAGTCCAGACAGTGGTGCTTCACTGCCTACTTCTCCGTACATGGGTGTCCAGCACCACTGCCTCCCAAAGACAATTCATTATCTTTCCTTCCAGACTCCACTCCACTTGCTTCATCTTGCATTACCCATCTCTGTAAATATCACTGAATATTCATTGTAGACACCTACCTGTGGTAGATCCCTATACACACACACATACACACACCCCAGACTAACTAGTTCAGAACACTTGTCCATGCACACACACACACACACACACCCCAGACTAACTAGTTCAGAACACTTGACCATGCCACACCCCAGAATAACTAGTTCAGAACCCTTGAACATGCACACACCCCTCAGACTAACTAGTTCAGAACCCTTGACCATGTGCACACACCCCAGAGTAACTAGTTCAGAACCCTTGACCATGCACACACATACATACCCCAGACTAACTAGTTCAGAACCCTTGAACATGCACACACACCCGAGACTAACTAGTTCAGAACCCTTGACCATGTGCACACACCCCAGAGTAACTAGTTCAGAACCCTTGACCATGCACACACACACATACCCCAGACTAACTAGTTCAGAACCCTTGACCATGCACACACACACATACCCCAGACTGCCTAGTTCAAAACCCTTGTCCATGCACACACACCCCAGACTGCCTAGTTCAGAACCCTTGTCCATGCACACACACACACACACACACACACACACACACACACACACACACCCCAGACTGCCTAGTTCAGAACCCTTGTCCATGCACGCACACCCCAGACTGTCTAGTTCAGAACCCTTGTCCATGCACATACACACACACACACACACACACACACACACACACACACACCCCAGACTAACTAGTTCAGAACCCTTGTCCATGCACACACTCACACCCCAGACTAACTAGTTCAGAACCCTTGTCCATGCATGCACACCCCAGACTGTCTAGTTCAGAACCCTTGTCCATGAGCACACACACACACACACACACACACACACACACACACACAACCAGACTAACTAGTTCAGAACCCTTGTCCATGCACACACTCACACCCCAGGACTAACTAGTTCAGAACCCTTGATGACCTTCCTCCTGGTGCCTGACTCCTCCTTTTCGGTTCACTGTAGCTAGAACGATCTTCTCTCCATCCCACCCTGCCCTGCATGGTCTAGTTTCACTGCTCCTCATAACTTAATATAAAGCATACCCCATGACGGGGTTCTTACCACAGCCTCCACCTCTCCCCCTGCCCCTTCTCATGCTCATCTCTCCCCCCTCTGGCCCCTTCCTCTCCTCAGCTACTGCTGCTCAACCCTCTACTCATCCTCTGGGCAGTGGCTTCGTTGATGCTTTCTTTCCTCAGCCCTCCCTGACCCTCACATGTGCGAGATGGGTGACCATGGCACCCATGCTTTTTGTTGTTGTTGTTGGGGTTTTTTTGTTGTTGTTTTGTTTTTTTGTTTTTCGAGACAGGGTTTCTCTGTGTAGTTTTGATACCTGTCCTGGATCTCGCTCTGTATACCAGGCTGGCCTCGAACTCACAAAGATCCACCTGGCTCTGCCTCCTGAGTGCTGGGATTAAAGGCATGCGCCACCACTGCCCTGCCTCCACCCATGCTTCTTATGCC